GTAGAATGTATAATTGCATTTTCAATTTATAACTATTTGGAACTCACATTCTCTGGCATGCTGGGCAACTGGAACTGAAGTGGTCGCTCGAAGGTAAAGAACTTTTTGAAAGAAAGGCAAAACAAGGGTTAAAGGCTTGTTTACAAGTAATGAAAGACTCTTTACTTACACCTTGCCCTGCATTATAGAAGACCTTTAAACTGCCACCGCAATCCGGGACTCCCTGGTTGTAGGCCTCGGACAGAAAGGCGCGGAATCCATTGGGATCCGTCCGCTTCAGCTCGCCTAGAATGGGCAGTAGCTTCAGGAAGGTGTCGTGCCACGGCAGATAGGATATCAGCACCATGGCCGTGTTCGTCCTGGGATCTTGACGACAGAAGCCAAAGCGCCATTTCGAGTCCCCGGTGGTATGCACAAAGGAAAACGTCTGCACCGAGGTGCTGTGTTGGGATGGATAAAAATAAAGTTAAATAATGTATTTAAAAGTAGTATAATATAAGAAGTTAATACTCCGTACTGTCCATGGTTCGTTTAAAGTCGAATTCACTCTGGCTTCACTTGGTTTGGCCTTGCTCATCATGCGTTGCCCAATGTTATGCATGATGAGTTGTTAATGTTCGATTGAGCACCGGATAAAAACATATATAATCGTATATATACGCATACTTAACGTACACTTGCGGAAAAATGTAAATACAATATGAACGATAAAAGTATTAAGAAATAAAGATTTTATTTAGGTTTGTAGCAAAATGTAATGAATCACAAAACCTAATTAACTAAAATTTATATACAAATAATTTTGAATTTATAAACAAAAACCAAACAAAAACATTCGTTAAATTTATGATAAAGTTAAAAGTTTAAGGCTTCAATTGTCGATGAGTCCGATTTACTCCGAATCTCCCCAAGTGCCGTGCTCAATGAGTAATGCCACGAGTTCCTCTTCATTTTCTATCATAGCCCACATAAATATGATTTTTCGCACGACCTAAAGCTTTTAAGTAGGAAAGTGACGAAACAAGTAGCCGACAAACCCGCCAAATGAATTCAGGGTTAATTATAAAAGCATACAAATCATTCCGATTTTTATTTTTCTTTCCGCTCTACTTTCTGCGATTTTTCCAGTGCCTCATTGAGAAATACCCTAACAAATTCGATCGTGTACCAGTTAATAGTAAACAACTTGTTTTGATATCCTGATTACAAAATATTGTTTTAGTTGGCCACTCATTGACACACGATACTCTCCACCTTTGGTGATTCAACATTTGTTTTTTGTACATATACGGAGGGACTTAAAAAAAAGAGGGAAATATTTTTGGTATTTCAGTTTAAGCCACCATTTCTAGTTTTTGCTTTCTTCCCATTTGTTTGATTTATTTTCTTTTGCCTTTTATGCGTCGCGTTGTCCGCATTAATTATAATTGTGTTGAAATCGCATTTAACAAATTAAATAAATCGCAATTTTGCAACAATGACGGCGCAGTCTCATTAAACGGGCACGTTTCCCATTGTCCGCCGATTTGCATATTGTTCGGCTTCAGCTGGGACTGGGTCTCTTTTTCTCTTCGCGCCGAGTTACATAAAGTCGTTAGATCTAAGTGTTTCGGATCGTGTCATTACTCAATTTAATATGCAAAGTCAGGCGGCGGACTACGCCGAATACGCAGCTTATACGGGTGCTCCCCGAGCTTGAGGAAACGGTGCCGAAATGGGGAAGGGAATTGGAGGGCAGCCTATCTTGGACGGTTTGGCCGTTGACTTGGACTTGATTTTCTTTATCAAAGCTCTGTGTCCAAATCCACAGCTGCGGTTAAGATGAGTATTTTTATTTCTTTTTCGAAATTTCATATGGTTTAAACAATTTCTACGAAACCTAGTAATATTAAAAATGTGTTAAAATGCTATTGCATATTGGACACATTTAGACCCATTTTTTTCAAGTTTCTAGGTCCATTGATTATTACTTATACGTATGATCTACGACCTAATAATACAATAGGGCATAAACTCTAATAAATGTTTGATGCAAAAACCAAATACCCAATGGTAACAGAAAAACCAGTCTCTGAGCTAAATTATTGGGCAACAATATTAAGTATTGACTCAGCAATTGCTATTGCTATAATGGGTCGAATGGCTGGCCGCAAAAACCCACTTCCGTTTTTTGCCCGATTGAGGAGCAGTTTTTGCAGCTATCTTAAAAATGAAATATTGGAAACGTTATCAAACGTCACAGAGCTACGCAATGTTTACAAGCCAAGCCTATGAAAAAAAATCACTTTGTATTATAAGCGAATGAATCTTCGAGAGAAATCCTCACGTACAATAAGTACTATTATGATGTACAATTTTTCCATAGCTAAATATAGTTTTTACCACAAACTTAGGTGAGTAATTAAAACTTTTTATAATGTGCACATTGTACGCTGTACAAACATCGTTTATAAGTTGTATGATTCAAATGAGATGTAAAATGATGTATTATATTTTAAGCTCTATAAATTCAACCGCAGCTGTATTTGAGCAAATCAAATCTCTGCTCAAATATAAACAATGGTATTCGGCGGAGATACAGAGTAAAAGGCAGATAAGCCATGAGGTCAAACTAATTTCTGCCTGGAAAAAGTAATCTGCCAGACAAACTTTGGAATTCCAGAAGCGAAAACCTAATTAATCGGCAATGTTGTCTTTTCGATGGTTTATCAAGTGATGAGTTAGCGCTGCTACACGGACAGCTGGAGCAGATAAGCGGATGGATGAGTCTCGCGGGGGGCAGCCGGATGACTAACCAGGTGGCGAAGGAGCCAATTGATACAGTTCCAGGCGCTCCAGGAAATGCTAAGCGAATTGCGTCGAACAATGGCCATTGAATAATACAGTTCATTACGCGAACTCGCTGTGTAAACAAACACCGAAAGCGAAACAGCAACAGAAACCGAAACAGAAACGGCACAACAGGTTATTCGTTTCATGGACAAGCTATCTGTTGTTAGTTGGTGGAAGTGGTTGGGTCGAGTGGTGACTCATCATCGGCGGAACCCTCTTGCCGTCTGTCTGCGGACGATCGCATGTCTTGCGTTTGCGTCTGGGTCTGCTGGTGCTGCATAGTATTTATAAAACGGATGCCCCTCTGACTAATGCCGCTTCCGACCCTATAAAGATATTGCCGATCAGCATCTGCTACCATATACGATAGGAAACTTTCCTATGGCTTTCTGGTGAATTGTACGCATGCATATGGATCTAACGTTATGTATGGTATCCTACTATCCTACGAATTGGGATAGGGTCATTTTACATGCTTTCAGTAGGTTGTCTAGAAATTGAACGAGAAAATCCTATCCTAGCTGTCATCGAAACAACTGACCGAAAATGGGCGGAGTATGAGGATTACTAACCCACCTCCATACGCACCTTGCTGTATCGCAGGGAAAGGCAAACGATGGGATGCCGGTGAGCACCTCCTGGTCGCGGAATCCTTCGGGGAAGCTCTCCACGATGACGCCGGCGGGCGCGGCTGGGCCACCGCTCCTGGGACTCGTGCCCCTCTCCAGTCCCGGCGTCGGCGTGAGCTCGCACCAGAACTCGAAGAGCTTCTTCACGTCATTCCTTGGGGAGCAGGAGAAGCAGGAGAAGCGGGAGGAGATTGGCGATGAGTCGTGGGAGTAAAAGCGCCACGATAGCGGCCAGTGGAGCGGAACGCCCACTGCAGCCACCGACTGGAACTGGAACTGGGCGGCATACTCACTTGATACGCGATCCCATTGCGAGGAGGTCTAGCACATGTTTCTGTCTCGGTCAGTGGGGGATGTTCGTTTGACTTGTGTGCTCAATCCGGGCTGCTAACACTGCTAATACTGATTATGCTGACACAATACGGGCTCGGGTTGTAGGGCCACCACTTTCCTCCTGCTCTGCTGCTCTTTGTCGCCTCAGATTTGCGACGTCATTGGTTGGTCTCGGCCGTTCGCGGGGTTTTCGCACCTGCTTGCTCTGGTTATGGGACGGCGGGGACCACTGCTCACTAATTTTCTGGCATTTTAGGGCCGCAACAATGGATATTTCACTTGGAACCCGCAGTTTTATGCAAGCAAATAGAACAAAAACACTTTTACAAAAAAAATCGCGAACAGTGTGACCGTCGAGTGACCGTTTGAAAACCTCACTAAAAACGTAGCACAGTGATTTTCGAAACATACCATAAATATACCAAAAGTTTAGCTTATTTGTATTCGAAATGGTAAACAATGTTTGAAAATTCTTTCAATAATTCGAATGATTTCTAAATCGTTTCGTCTCGAAAAAACAAACTCGACAGTAATGGTTTTTATATCCCAAGAACGTTTCTTCCTGAAAGATGGCAACGCACTAAAATCGATCTCAATTTAAGCTATTCCTGAAAAAAGATTATATAAATGCTTATAATTTTAAAATTACTCAGGTAGCAGCTTAAAAAAGTTATATAATCGCCCACAAATTACGAAGTCTATGCTTACATATCGATAGTCAAAAGCTTTGTTCAGCTAACATTTAACCACCTGTTAGCTTTCAGTTGACTTAACAGCGGGGATCGGGGACGTCGTTCGCTGGATATTTTGGAAAAAGGTATTGAATCAAGGCATGGTTAACGTGTGCTGTTTTTGACGCGGTTGAGGGCAATGTTAGAAGTGTTTTGTTTTGAGCCCAATAAAGAAATTTAATCAACTCAATTATTATGATATTCAGTACATATACTATAGTATACGCATATGTTAGTGACTCACGGCTACATTTAAAATTGAGAATAAATAATCAACGATGCGCAAGCAAAGGTTAGGGCAGCCTTGAACGAAATCGAGAGTGGAATCTTAACGAAAGTTTACCCCCAATTTCGAGCAATAATCGGTTTTAAATCCCCAATTATATTGAATTTAGTGGGCCCTTTTTCCCTCAGTGTAGTGCAGTTTAGCTAAGTTTCACACCCAGCGGGTTTCCTCTATTCATTAGTTTGGTCACACTGCAGCTGCACCGTTAAGCGCGTTCCACGGTTGTGTTTATATTTTGGTAGTGTGCGCCCTGCATTGTTTTTCTAAGTTTCTTTGCATCCCAGACGTTATTTTCAAGGTTCCTCTCTCGGCGGCCGCACAAAAAATGCATAATATTTTTTATAAGGTTACATAAGTGCGTGTAACCGAAGCAGCTTGCCTCTAAAAAGTTCCTGTACCCAGTGGCCCCAGTGAGCAACACAATATAGTATACAATAGTTTCGCTTCCGTCATACTTGGCACGGTAATTACCTGCACCCACTAAAGTAGGCGAATCAATAGAACACCATATGCCGCCCACCACCCACATCCCAGTACCCACCCATTGTTTCGCTCCTGCACGTGATGATGCCGAGGAGAAGTCCGAAACACCGGGTCAATCCAATAATTACAGATACTATCGGTCTGCGGGCATAGTTTCGATTTGTGTCACAACCCAGTCACAGGTTTTTTGAAGTCGCCTTTTCTAAATTTATACTTATTCTCTTATTTCACCCTCTTTTCAAGGTAAGCACCCATAAATTCTGGAAGCCAATACCAGGCAGCACAATTGGCAGAGCCCCCGGACAGACCCTCGGTTTTAGCACTCACACACTCACTACTAGTAATAGTCATTAGTTTAGAGTCTCGCCATGATGTGCGCCATTGTCCGTGGTCCTTCCACCGGCCACAAGTTGGCCCTGTACCGTTCCGTGTCCGAGCTCCTCGGCCCAGTACACGATGTCCGCTGCCTGTCCGCCGGAAGAGACCTGCATCAACGGCAGGGGCAGCGGTTGCTCCAGAGCCCAGCCCATCGTCAAGATCTACTGTGAGTGAGCGATAAGCGACCGTAAACGAGTTCCAAGTGTACCTGAACCCGTCCCGCCTGCACCCATTCGGGGCGTGTGTTGTCTGCCTTTGATACGGACGACCACTCGTTTAATCAGAGTCCATGTGCATACATTACCCCGCCGCGATTAGATATGCCTCCTTCTTGTACTTGTATTAGCCCGAACTGGCCCATTCATACCGCTAGCAAGTCGCGCTGTGCTGTAATTCGTTTCATTTGTGGCTTGTTCGCTCTTTCAGCTCGCTTTCCCGGGCGGCGGAGAGTTCTAAATTATCAGTGCGAAGCCTTCATTCGGATCACGACGCCATGTTCTACTCGATGTACGCCTACCTGTCCAACCTGCCACGCCTCCATGTCCTGGGCATGGCGGTGGTGGCCTATGTGGTCTATTACCTAATCCAGGTGGTCAAGGTGAGTACATAATTCTAGCGATTACATCACATCCGGCGCGTGACTAATCAACGAATTTGTCTTCTAATTACAGCGACCGATAATAGCCTGTTCGGAGGGTCCGTTCAAGCAGTATCTGATCCGCCAGGTGCCGACGCTGGAGAACAAGTACTGGCCCACCTTCTGGTGCGTGGAGAGTCGTGCCCAGACCGTCCTTGCGAGCCTGCTGCGCTCCAAGAGTCTGCCGCATGTTAACTACCGCCGTGAGATCCTCTCCCTTAAGGATGGGGGCGAAGTGGCCCTGGACTGGATGGAGGAGGGCTGCGACGCTAGCTCTCCGTGTATCCTCATCTTACCGGGTCTCACCGGCGAGTCGCAGGCGGAGTACATTAAGTGCCTGGTTTTTGCCGCCCAACAGGCTGGAATGCGTGTGGTGGTGTTCAACAACCGAGGACTTGGCGGCATAGAGCTGAAGACACCACGCCTCTACTGCGCCGCCAACAGCGAGGATCTGTGCGAGGTCATCCACCATGTGCGTCGCGTTTTGCCCGCACACTGCAAGCTGGGAGCCACTGGAATCTCCATGGGTGGCTTAATTCTGGGAAACTATCTAGCCCGTAGGAGCGAAGAGGCCAGGAGCTTCCTGTCGGCGGCCAAGATCATCTCGGTGCCCTGGGACGTGCACAAGGGAAGTGCCAGCATCGAGAAGCCGGTGATCAACAGTCTGCTGGGACGCCACTTGGCGGGCAGTTTGTGCCGCACCCTGCGCACTCATCTGGACATCTATAGGGACATTTACCAGGACTCTGACATCGATATCCAGCGCATCTTGCGCTGCACGACCATCAAAGAGTTCGACGAACTGTTCACGGCCAAGCAGTTCGGCTATGCCCATGTGAATGACTACTACGCGGATGCCACGCTGCACAACAAACTAGATCACATTTCGGTGCCGCTGCTCTGCCTGAGTGCTGCCGACGATCCGTTCCAGCCGCTGGATGCCATCCCCATCAAGGCGGCCAATCAGTGCACCCATGTGGCCATCGTGATCACTGCTCGTGGCGGGCACATCGGCTTCCTCGAGGGCTGGTGGCCGTCCACCAAGGACCAGTACATGGGTCGCCTGTTCACCGAGTACTTCACCAAGGCGTTGTTCGACGAGGACGGCGAGTTCGAGCATACGTCCAACAAGATGCACGAGAGATTCCTGGCCAAGCAGACGGTGGCGCTGGCCTCCTCGACACCAGTGCTGCTCGCCAAGAAGATGGAAGCCAGTCAGTTGGACCACAAGGTCAAGCTGATGTGAACGAGGAGCTCTACTCAGTGTTTGCCCAATTAGGATTTCCACTTAAATACATAGATATTCGAGAATGTATTCCGATAGATTTCCGTGAGCGAAGACTTTCGTACACATGTGATATGAAACGTTGATCAAAATCCAAAGTGTTGTTATATACTCTAAGTCATCGAACAGGGAACCAAATTATCAGTCAATCAGCATAGTGGCTTAAATTACTCTTAGACCGTGACCTTAGTGACATATCAAATTGAAATTGCAAATAGGCTTTACGATTCGTAGTGGTACATTCAATATACAAAATATATGACACAATGCAATAATCTTATATTTTTACAAGTTCCGTATATTTATAACTAATAAAAATACAACGCTTAATAACGAGAAAATAAAACACTTTTACTGCATTACAAGGTAAATTTGACAAGCGAGACGTATTGGGCTTGGGGTATTCTCGGATCGTTTAAAAGTCTCCGGGATTACCCCCTCATAAAAACCAGTTTCCTACAGCTAAAATACCAATTGCGATACGCCTAAATGGGCTTATAGAGCAGCGTGGTGACGTACTTCTTGCGATACCGATGCGTTGCGCTCAGGACCATGACGCCATCCTTGATGGACAGTGCGTACAAGTGGTTCAGCATAACATGGTTGGGTTCCGGCAGCAGAGTGGGTTCGCACTGCGGGTAGAAAAAGCTAGCGTTAGAAAAGATATTGCTTGAATACTAGGAATACCCACCGAGAGCGGTGTGTCCTTGTTGAGGATGACCTGCAGCAAGTGTGGCGGCAGAACGGGTGGGCCGGATACCTTCTCCCAGGGCTTCACCTGGGGCACCTCCTGCGAGTACTCCTTCTCCGCGTAGTTGGTCACGTTCTCGCTGTCTTTCGCCAGGGCCTGGAACACCTCGAAATCGGATTCCCGCACGGACACCAAGTTATTTCTGTGCCCCTCTTCGTTCTCAACGCTTTTCTGAAATTCCAAGCCGATGAGCAATAATCAATTTATTGTAATTCTAGCTGGGTAAACAATGGTGAGAGAAATAGTTCATAAGCCCGTTGCTGAGTGCCATTGATGGGAGGATAGGAAATATAATAGTAAACAATATCTGTGGATTTTTCGCTGAGTTTAATAAAAACCATGAAATTCGATAGCAGTACTAGCCATTGGGGCGGTATTTAGTTTCTTTCATAAGGAGATTAATAAACTCTATCATATTGGAATAAGTTGGCGAGTTAGATATCAATGTGTATTTCGTTAAATCTATTTTCTATTTATTGAGTTCAATAGCATTTATTTGAATAGTGGAACTAGCGTTGAAAAAGCTTAAGAGATAGATTTTAATAAATACTCAGGTTAGCAATATTTTTGATCGATTTTGCTTGATTTTCGCTTACTTAACTACATTTTGGAACATTAAACGCTACATAAGAGAGATCGTTATTATTGGAAACCTGTGGTTATATAAATTCTATAGATGTACGCTATCCTTGAATACTGTCTCAAAGTATATACCCAGTTATATATTTTTAATTTGTATTGGAAACTATAATATTGCCATTTTCATAACGTAATCTATTAGCACACCGGTTTTAAGTATCAAGAAAAGTTTTGTATCACTTTCTTCCTCAATAAAGATATTATTTATATAATTCTTAATGTTCATATAACATCATTGCTGGGATATACAAAATTCCCACAAATATAGCTACACCTCGACGGATAAGGTAATCTTAAAACGGGGTTAGTCTCACAACTCTTCCTCCCTGAACCTTTAATCTACGATTCTAATTGTTGTTTATACAGCACTTTAACAGGGTTCCCATAAAAATAGCTAAGTCCCCCTGGATGAGCATCTCTGAGCCCAATTGAAATCCACTACTGATTACTGGGTAGACTTCGTTTTGTTTACGATGTTGATTACACAACCCGCGGGTCGAAAATCGGTTACTGCGTCATTCGGGCGCCCGAATAGTAAACACTGAAAATGTAGGGGCCTACTATATGTATATTGATTTTCCGCCCAACTGACCAGCTTGGGATCGTGCTTCCACTCGCCGTCCACGCAGAACTTGTACTGATGGTCGCCCTCTGGCAGATCGATGATGGTCACAAAGTTCTGGTGGCTCCGCACCATGGTGATGGGCTTCCAGTTGGAGAAGGTGCCCGAGATGGTTACGTTCTTGCCGCCGCCATCCCACCGCAGAACTGTGGGCAGTGCCGTCTTCCGGATGTCGTCGTCCTCGCCGATTAATTGAGATGCCGCCAGTTGCTCCGTTGCCGCCGCCGCCTCCTCCTCCTCGTTGTTGTCCATGCTGCTGGAGTGTTCTCGGGGAACAGCTGATGTCGAGTCGTCGGCGGTGCCTCGTCTGCTGGATGATCCAGTTCCAGTTCCCGTGTAGTACGGGTCGTCGTCTTCTTGCGACGAGCCCTCGTTCAAGACTGCCGTATGTTTTTTGTCGAACGAGAAAGCTTGGCCTCCGCCACCCCCTCCCCCTCCGCCCGCTACCCCGCCCAAAGCTGATGCGCCAGCGGTTCCCCCCTGCACCGCAGCTCCTCCTCCCGCTCCCGCTCCCCCTGCGCCCACAACCGACTCGCGGAAATGTGCGGGAGAGCTCGGAGTGGACAAGTCGGTCGACTTGTGGCGCTCGCGTTGCATGTGCACGGTGGAGCTGGCGTTGCCCATGCTTATTGCCGTTCTCGCTGGCTTTTCGGCAGGTCACGGCCCGAGTTTTGGGACTGGTGTTGTGATGGTTTGGGTTTGGGTTCGGGTTCGGGTTCCCTGGTCCCTTTGTTTTTGGCACTTTGTTTCACCGAGAGCTACTTGGGACTGGCGTTACTCGCTACTCTAGGTCACAGCACTTGTCGCGGCCTGCAGTCTGTTGGTTTTATTTGGCATTTAGTGCGCAGAAATCTGCATTATTTAATCGTTTGTTTCGTTTCGTAGAAAAATGGCTAATTATAAACAATCGCTACTATCGATGGGCACCGATAACGCAATCAGGAAGTGCCATCGATAACGGATATTCTAATTGTAAATAGGAAAGAGCTATCGGACGATGACACACAATGTGGCGCCCTGGTTTTAACAGCCGTTAAATATATCGGAGCTGCCACTCGTTTTGAATTTTCGTTTTATCAAATGAGAGGTCTGTTGAAAACCTATATTATTAAAACCATAAAAAGATTACACAACTTATATGCTTCGTTTACAATAAAGTTTCTTCCGGACTGGTCCTGTTTTTTAACACTTGTTATATATTTAATAACACCTTATAATCAGCTCTTATCATTTCAATAGAATTAAGATATTGTACTTTTAGAAACGATTTATTCAAATGAATTGTTGACAAACAATGCTCAAGATATCACACACCATTTAATTAGGTCAGTGAATCATTGAAATTATCTTTTGATATAGGAAATCAACTGAATACAGGGGTGACTAAACACAACAAAAATAGAGTAATTCCCAGTCGCCTATTGGTTGTAAGTGCGTAAAAACAAGCATTACAACTGAGGAAAACTGAGGGTCCAAAGTCCACGGCAATCAACTTGCAGCGGGGCAAAATAAAAGGCAAAGTATAAAAAGACGAGGAAAGACTGAAACTGAAAAGTAAAACAAAGAGGCAAGGGCGGAAGTTCGATGGCAAGGCTTCTCTGTGATGAACCAGGTAGAACGTAAATGTGGCTGCCAAAACAGATGCAGCCAAAAACAAACCAAGTAGGCGGAATCACTGAAAAGAAAATGAAACGGCGATCAAAACAAACTAGAAAAACCGCCTAGGAAAGTCAGGTACCAATACTAGAAACCAGACGCTTTCCAGACGATGGCAACACCCAAAGAAACTCATGAAAAATATACATGGCTATACCAAACATATGTATACACTTAAAAGAACTGAACCATTTTGGTTTTAGCTTTAAAAAAAATAAAAAAAAACCGTCGGAAAACTTAGTTTCGATTTGAAAACCTTAGTAGTTTGTGGGCTCGATTTATTCCCTTCTAAAAAATTACTCAAATCAAAAATATGACTTTGATATTTTTTTTTAAATTGAACTGTTTTTAAAAATGAAAACTTTCTGAATAACCTTGTAGGTTTTGATATTCTGAATATTAAAATTTAATGAATTTTAAACTGGTTTGTATTCAGATCTGAAATCTTTTGAAAATCAATTTTCCAATGATTTCTCTCAGTGCATAGATGGTGTTGGTATGGGTGCTGCGTGGTGTAGTAGACACACACACCCACAGCTAAAATTGATTAAAACTAAAAACACTCGATGCCGATGCGATGCCGTGCCTTGTTTCGTTTTCAGTGCGATCGCAGACATTGTGCAAAACGGTTCACAGTTCTCTCCTCGCGACTGGAAGTGATCGTCTTGCTGTTTCTGTTTCTGTGTTTTTTATGGGAGTGCACTGCAAGAAGTCGGAGAAATCGTGTCAAATTAAGTGGAATCCAGAGCCCGTTGCAGAGTCACTTATTTTGATCACGTCGCAAGTGGCAAGTGAGCTTTCGAGCAATTGAGGTAGGTCAGTCGGCTGGGTTGACCTTATGGGCCGCTTATCAGTCCCAGACCCACTTTGAATTCCCCCGAAATCAATGGGTTTTCAAGGCCCCATCCCCTCCTATCCATGCCACGTTCGAATGACTGACTAACCAACTAAACTGAACCCTAAACCCAAACAACTTAACTATTTCCCATGGCTCCCGAGGGCGGCGCGTGTTCCCGTCGATTTCTGAGTGCATTATCAGAATTATCAGACTAATCAGTGAACTGTTTTGAACTGCTAATTAATAATATGTATGCGGCAACACCCATATATTTAGATTGACATACGATCCAACCTGAATCTACGGCGCACTTTCCACTTACTTGCAATTTTATCGAAGCCTGTTTGATCAGCCTAAGTGCATTGGAAATACTTTCCCACACTCTTTACTTTGTTACATGTTATATACTCCTTCCAATGGAGAACAAAAAACCCCTCCACTCGGTGAAAACAAACAGAAACCTTCAAGATGGCCACCCCACCCGAAGCAGATACGATAATAATAAATGTATACCAAGACCTTATCAATAACCTGACTTGTTTTCCAACTGCACCTTAAATCAATTTAGATCGTACCAGAGCCAAAAAAAGAAAGATCCCCACACTTGGAAACAACTGGACGGGCACGAGCCCACCAAAAAAACAAGATTTCAGTCATAATAAATAAATTTCGGTGTCTTCACGTATATATTTTTAGCTTTATCAATTTCGGGCGTTTCTTCGGAGGCTCGACAAAAACACACAGCCAATAGGAACGAGATTCGCAGCGAGGGTCGCAACATGGATAGCGTCAAGTCGTTCTTCGCCGGTTCCAGCAAAGATGGAAACCTCACCAACAACCAGCAGTCAAACGTACCAGGGTCCTCCATCAGGAGCCGTTGGGGTCGGAGCTGGAGCACCAGCTCCCAGCACACGGATCCCGAGCCAGGATCAGGATCCACCAACTCCGCGGTCAGCAAGAGCGGAAATCCCTGTGATGTGAAGCGCAAGGACAGTGATAACTACTTCTACATCATGTAAGTTGGGTTTACTTTCAGAGAGCCCCCTTTCAAGACACCAGATAAGATAGAAACATGTAGGGTACTTGGCATCTGTTTTGTTTTCTGGGCAAAGTCCACTAGTTTTACTTATGGCATGGGTATAATACGGAGATCAAAATACATTGGTTATATCGGACTTTTTTAAACAGATAGTTTAAAACCATTAAGGATTAAATTGGAAAGCTATTATCATCAATCATCTATCTATCATATTTCTGATAATGCTTGAAGTTATAGTTTCTAAACATTTTCTTATAGTCACTTTTATATATGTAGGTATTATATACATATGTATATGATTCATAATCTGATTTCGTTTTATTGAAATTTCATAGAAATTCATTTAGTTCAGTTACCAGGACACAATATTTATTTGAAAAGCACGTATTTTTAGTTATTTTAAAGGGATTTATCATTCAAATTTCGATCATGATATTTTGATCTTAAGTTTTCGAGAAACGATATTTTTCTTTATTCCAATAAGCCCTTATGAAATTGAATAAGCAGGAAGTATACAAGAAAATTGGACAAGATGTCTAGTTGAATAGTTATGTCAGTGACACTTAAAGTTGTATAATAAACAATTCCGTTTTACGAGTAAACGTGCCTATCTATAATGGTATCTTTGTATTCCCTTTCCCATTCTTTGGTTATTTCAATAGTTATTGTTTTTTTGAGTAGTTCTCAAGAGGTTTTTTACTTCCTGTGCTTGTTTATTGCTTTGTTTTCTTGGTTGTCGAGGATAATTTGGTTATCTGGCTACCGCCCTATCAGTCATTGCACATGGAAACCCATAAGTAAATGGCTTCCATTATTTTCGGACCCTGATAGCCGTTCAACGCCTGCAATTCTTGATTACAACAGGGGTTAAGCTTGATCAGTGTGATTAATTAAATGCCAAAAGACCGTAACCAAGCGTTCTCTAGAGGCAGGCAAACCAGTTTGTGCGGTCATAGATTCGTAAGCTCACCTTGAACGCCCGAGTTTCGAGTGCTATTTGTTTGATCGGCTCAAAGTTCTGAGCGAGATAGCCTGATATTTGGAGGGGATCTGGACTGGAACTGCATAACCAGTTAAGAATCAGTTACGAATCAACTGCCGCTGCGAACAGCTGAGAATGTCCCGTGTTTAGAATGTGAGTGGCCGGGGATAGCCCCGAAAATAACCAATCTGGGCGTGGGCCTTGCCAGGTGCTGGAGGTATAAGTGCGTGAGTCAGTGGAGCAGCTGGGCAGTAACCATTGGGCATTCCGACTCTCAGCACGCTGTAAGATCCGCAACCGCGTTTATAATTACCAGAAAACCACAACTGATGCAATACCATCTCTGGTTTCGTTTCGTTTTAGGTGGCGCGCCTGAAGATTACCAGACGATTGTGGATCCGAGCATCAACCGGATGAGTCGCGATCCGTATCTTAAGTGACCTGCAGCAATAAACATCTGTAATCCTATTAGGAACATCGGAGCGCTAGCGGCAACAGTAGCCTTTTGCCTCGTTGCACCATCTCCATTGGCCGAGTCCGGTGTTTAGTGATACTAGTTATTTATTTACAATTATACACATTCATTTACCCACCATATTTGTACGTACTGTCCGATCGATCCCATCCCTCCTATATGGACGCCATCGCAATCTTCGGCTTGGTCTACTGGCTGATCTGCATGATTTTGTTCGGGCCGTTGATGTTCTTTGTCTGCGTTTACCTGCCCGAAGTTCCGGTGCGGTATGTGAAGAGTCTGAGGCAGCAGACCCGAGTGCCTTTCACCCTACTTGACCGCTAACTAGCCGAGTCCATAGTACATAGATTAAGCAAGCCATAGTTGAAATGATATTGATGTACAACCGATCGATTTGTAATAAAAGTCTACTCCAAATTGCATTAAAATTGATTTTGTAACGTGTATAAAAATCAGTGAGGCATGGGGATTTTATGGTTCCGAAAAACCCCCCCAAGGTAAGAATTTCTAGACTAGTTCACAATATCAGTTCCCGATCTTTATGCTGACTAAAAGAGATAAGATATTTTCCTTCTCCACACGATAAGATTAATAAATCAAATTTCTAAGCTTTACATCCGGTGTTTAAACACATTTTTAATAAAATATTTTGGTTTATTATTTCTTTGTACCTCTCGCTAGTACCGAATTATCTGCAGTCGAGCGGCTTCTTAGTTTTATTTATGTGAATCTTTTAATACAAAGCTAAGTCTGCGGAAATATGAGTGCCACAAAACATATCGCTGTTTTATCAAAAAGCTACTATTGCTGGTTGGAATATTAGATCTGCTTTCAGTTGATGGCCAATCAGCGGTATTGAAAACCATTTACATCCTTTGAACAAAGAAAAAAGGGAATTTCAAAAAAAATATATAAAAATAAATTGTTTTCGATGCGGTTATCTGCGGTTGCTGATGCCTGGCCTGACTATGCTCCTTTCGTTTATTTGATAAATCACATTCCTACTTGATGTACCATTTGATAGATTGCCAAAGGAATTAATGCCTTGATTTTCTCTCTTTCGCTTCGAACTAAAATTTTGACTTAATTAATAGTATTGGTTATTAATTAAAACAAACACGTTTGGGTCGGGGGTGAATCTGCGGAACAGTGAAGAGATTTCGATAGCGCTTTGATTTAGTTGGACCAGGATAGCAGCTGCTTCATGTCTGGATCATCTGTAATGGAATTAAAATAATAATTGTAAAGGAGTACTTAAATGCTGGAGGCAAACCCACCATCATCGGCAGCTGCAGCCGCCGTGGTAGCCGCCTTCTTCTTCTCCTTGGCCTTCTCGGGCAAATCTTCTGTGGGCGCTTCGGGCAATGTGGGCGCCGGCTCGGGAATACCAATGATTTCCTTATCAAAGTTCTCCTGCTCCAGCTCGTCGAGTTCCCGCTCGAGATCCTCATCGTCGAGGTCGGCCCCAAAGGCCACCGGGTTGGAAATGGCATCGGAAATCTCGCGGGCCACGTCCTGTTGCTCGGCAATGTCGTCCATCATGTCGTGCACCTTGTCCACATCCCTGAATAAAGGTAAACGTTACTATCTGGATCACATGCTGCTGCTGGGTATATATGACTCACATGTTCTGGTGGGCTGTCTTGAGGGCATCCGCGGCATTCTTCATCGTGGTCAAGACGGCAGTGTTTGTGTTGGCGCTCTCCAAGGCCTCCCGCTGCATCTCAATGGTGGACAGGGTGCCATCGATCTGCTGCAGCTGCTTCTCCAGGCGCTTCTTCTTTTTGAGGGCTTGCAGGGCCACTAGAAAGGTGACAAGTGGAGGGATTAGATGGTGTATTGAGACTAGATTCAATTCTACATGTGATATGGCCAATTTGCTATGCGTGGTTCGAATTACTCTACTGCATGGCTTGTGTTTGTTTTGGGTATCAAAAGGAATGTTTATATTACGTTCTTAGCGATGTGCGGACACGTCCAGGCATCGAATGGTATGCGGGTGAGAAGGGCGAAGAAATACAGATTGTTTTATTGAGTGTTCTATTGGCTGGCAGCATGGGGGACTGATTAGTTGGGAGGGCCTCTCGGCCGCAACAAAAACAAAGCAATGAGTCATTTCGCCCTGGCCCATCCAAGTGGCCAATTGGAGCTGCAAGGACCTCGTCCAGGCAGGCTGCAGACATACCTCTTTTGTTTTTGGATGCATTCTTGCGAGCTATATTCAGCTCGTCCTCGATCTTGGCCTCCAGGAACTCCTGCTTCTTGATAAGCATGTTCTCCGTCTCGCGCAGCTTCTGTATCGCCTCGCCGGTGGTGGGAGCCACCTCCTTCTTGCCACCGAACATCTTCCCGAAGAAACTCATCCTGTCTGGTCTGCTTTTTCACCCGGAGTTAGCAAATAAGTCTGTTTTTTTCTGCAATTGCGTTTCTTGGTTGTCTGGGAGCTGTTGTTCGTATGCGTCACCCGATACCGATTGCCCGGTGTTATCGTTATCGTGTTTGTGTATGCGGTTGGCAGGGAGGTGTATTTCGCAGAGTGGAGAGCTGGTCACTCTAACTGGAAACGCCGAAAAAATATAAATAAATCCTGTGCATTTCCGAATTTTCACTCCCCGCATCAATAAAAATCACGGATTGCTGGACCACTAGTCTAAAGACTATTACATTTGACAAGGAGACAGGAACGCACCTGGCGCAATGGCCAACCGCACGGTGAAGGAGGCCAAAAACGTGCACGGCACCAATCCGCAGTACCTCATCGAGAAGATCATCCGCTCTAGGATCTACGACTCCAAGTACTGGAAGGAGCAGTGCTTTGCCCTCACGGCGGAACTGCTGGTGGACAAGGCTATGGAGCTGCGTTTCGTCGGCGGCGTCTACGGTGGCAACATCAAGCCCACCCAGTTCCTCTGCCTCACGCTGAAGATGCTGCAAATCCAGCCGGAGAAGGACATCGTGGTGGAGTTTATCAAGAACGAGGAGTTCAAGTATGTGCGGGCTTTGGGAGCCTTCTACCTTCGGCTCACGGGCGCTGCTCTGGACTGCTACAAGTACCTGGAGCCGCTGTACATCGACAATCGAAAGCTGCGCCGCCAGAATCGCGCCGGCCAGTTTGAGATCGTCTACATGGACGAGTACATAGACGAACTGCTGCGCAACGACCGTGTCTGCGACATCATACTGCCCCGCATCCAGAAGCGTTCCATTCTGGAGGAGAACAACGAGATCGAACCTAAGGTGTCGGTGCTGGACGAGGACTTGGACGACGAGGTGCCCAGCGATGAAGAGAAGGCGGACGATGCCAACAGGCCTAAGGAGAACTCTTCATCAGTGCGGCGACCGCGAAGAGCTCGCTCCAAGTCGAGGTCACGCAGTCGGGAGCGCGAACGGAGATCTGGCCAGGGCAACAACGCCCGCTCCAGGGACTACTACGACGAGCTGGAGGACTACGACCGCCAGCGGAATCGGGTGCGCAATCGGGACAACCAGAACGAGGACTACGACCGCCGGCAGACCAGTGGCCGCCAGGATCGGGAGAGGGAGCGCCAGGATCGTGACAGAATCAGAGAGCGGGACAGGAACGGGGACAGAGATCGCCGGGAAAGGGAGCGAGAACGCGACCGAGGACGCCACGATCAGCGGGAACGAGATACGCGTGGAGAACGCGAGCGACGACGCTATTAAAATAAGGTTTAAATTGAGTTAAATGACCAGTAAAAATATGAAAAAAAAACCCCAACGGCTGGTTTTAATTTGCCGCAAGTTGGCATCCCCACGAATAAGAATCGAAAATCGAAACGAAAACAATAACATAGAAGAAGCAGAACAATCAGCTGTTGCTGCCTTTAGAAAGTTTTAAATAACTACCATTAATTACGGAATAATCTAGCCAACTGTATTGGTGAAAATAATACATGTAATACCAGCAGTGCTTTAGACAACGATAAATCCACGTTAATCACCAGTAAAACAGCCGCTGGAGCTTCAGTATCTCGAAACCCGCCGTCGCGCTTGGAAGTCTCAATCAGAGAAACTGCGTTCTGCATTCTAGTGAATGAATTGCTAATTTCATTATCTGCGGAAGTCTGGTGGAAGGCAGTCGGATCCCCAAGTTCCGCGACAGATATCTACCGAGTCGGCAACTGCCCAGAATGCCCCGTTCTGATACTGAGGCCTTGGTGGCCGATGTGGAGACTGGAGAAGATTCGGCGCCACGTACTCTGGACGCCTCTTCTGCGGTGGCCAGTGACCAGGAGCAGGTGGACCCTTCTCCAGTTCCCCCGCCCCGTGACTACAGCAGCTACCGATGGTTCATCCTAGAGCCCGCAGTTTTTCTCATCTTCTTCGCTAGATACTTAATCGGTATGATGGCGAGCAGGGAGAATCTCTGATTGGATGCTTCATTCAATTAACTTGTTGTCTGTTTTAGGGGCGGTTTATCAAAATCAAATCCTCTACCAGACCTGCGTCACCATCGAGAAATTTAATGCCACGCAATGTGAGCCGTTGCTGGGCATCGATCGCGCATCGGATGCGGATAAAGTGAGTGTGTCATTTCGACCTACAATCATATACTATGCAATGTATCATGTAGCTTTGGTATCTGTACTTGCTGTTGTTGCTGGGTCTCGTGTCTGGTTTTAGCTTTAAATGTTTTTATCTCTGTTTTTGCTGCTCTGCGGGGCGTTACGGGGCCATGATATTCATATACTAACGATCAGAACAAAAAACACCGGGAAGAGTAAAAGTAGAAATATGTATATAAATAATATTTAGATAATTTTAAAAATCATGGAACTCATAAGATAGAGGCCCTTAAGTAACAAAAATTGTATCTAAACTCTTTCATTTACAAAGTTCTTACAATGGTACTACTTATGTAACCACTGCTGTAAAGATCAAAGTATTTGGCTCGCTGCGGTTAATGCATTCTTCAAAGACGTGACCCACTTATTCGTAGTATATCAGCATCCGACGTGACAAAGCAAAATCACTTTAGCAAATCGCTTTAATCTAATGCAACATTTCCATTGTTTTGAGCTTAGAGATAATGCATTTAGCACGGCACTCAAACCTTATCAGCGGGCAATACATAAGTAAATAAAATCCTTTGTGACTACATTTTTTGATAGTATCGAACTTAAGCAAAGCGTTAAAATTATAAATATATGTATGTAGATACGAGTTGACTCATGGTAAACGTGAGCCGCAGTTGTGCTTTGTTCTAAAGTGAACTTCTGTTTTTCAGGAAATTGAGGTGATAGTACAGACGTATTCGGCGAATATCATGATGACAACATCTCTGCTCGAGAGCATAATACCAGCCTTTGCGAGTCTATTCCTGGGTCCCTGGTCCGACAAGTTCGGAAGGCGACCCATCCTGCTGACAACGTTTACGGGTTGGTTGTACTTGTAACGACCTTTAAAACACATACTGATTACATTTACTTTTCTTTAAGGTTACCTCTCTGGCGCTCTTATACTGATAGTGATTACCTATATAACCAGGTCCACAAATATTAGCCCGTGGTGGTTCCTTCTTTCCTCAGTTCCTTCGGTCTTAAGCGGTGGAACTTGTGCCTTGATCACGGGAATCTATTGCTACATATCCGATGTAGCCAAGGAGAGAAAGAAGGCTTTAAGGTGAGTAGACAATCTTGTGTTTAGAAAAAAAGCTTAATATCTATCGTTCTTCCTTTAGAATGGTTCTGAATGAGGCCTCCCTGTGCGCTGGCATGATGGTGGGCAATGTGGCCAGTGGCTACATCTATGCTGCCACGAATGCCTTGGTCCTATTTTCCATAGCTGGATGTCTGATGATGCTTGCCCTGATGTATGTCTTTATGTTTGTGCCCGAGAGCTTAAACCCAGCCGATATACACACGGGAGTAAGTGATTTCTAAAGATAAATGGAAATGCAAAGCTAACTCCTTGTGCCTTATCCACAGTCGCGAGTCCGTGAGTTCTTCCGTTTCGACTTGGTCAAAGATTTGGTTCGCACCTGCTTCAAAAGGCGACCCAACTTTGATCGCGCCATCATCTGGCTTACTATGATTGCTCTTACGATAGCCATCTTCGATATGGGTAACTGAAATCAGACTGGAAATCTCTGAACAAAAAGAACTAACCTAATAATGCTTGCAGAGGGCGAGAGCACTGTCAACTACATGTTCATGCAGGATCAATTCAACTGGACCATCAAGGACTTCAGCCTGTTCAACGCATCCCGCATCGTGATCCAGATTATTGGCAGCATCGTTGGCATGATAGTGCTACGAAGGTTCCTAAAGATGTCCATCGTAACAATGGCCATGCTTTCCCTGGCCTGCTGCGTCCTGGAGAGCACCGTGCGGGCCACGGCAGTCTACTGGCAGGAGATGTATCTGGGCATGACACTGGGAATGATGCGGGGCGTCATGGGACCCATGTGTCGTGCGATTCTCTCGCATGTTGCGCCCGCCACGGAAGTGGGTAAGTGGAGCTCAGCAATTGGAGGAGCGTGTGCGATTTACTAAAACAATACCCTCCCAATTTAGGCAAGATTTTCGCTCTGACCACGTCCATGGAATCGGTGTCGCCACTCGGAGCTGCTCCTCTGTACACAACCGTCTACAAGGCTACCTTAAAATACTACCCCGGAGCTTTCAACTTCATCAGCGCGGTTCTATACTTTATTTGCTACATTTTGATAGCGTAAGTTTTTGCTAGAATTGGAATTCAATGATTTAAGATACCTATAATTAATACGTACTATATAAATTGCAGTGTGATTTTCGGAATACAGAAGTCGATGGGCAGCAGCAGTATCTACCAGGCTATCGGCAGTTAACCAGCAAACCCAGCGCTCCGATTTAGCTGAATGTATCTCATAAGTTAGGTTCCTCCTGCAAGTGCTGGGAAAGAGCTCTCATTTCTGACGACTAGAAACTATTTTTGTAAATTAATCTAGTGTTTGTACTCCTTGTATTTGTGCAAGTATTATTATGAGTTTTATTCGTATGCATGTATCTGCTATCTGGACTGTGTTTTGCATGTGCAAGCATTGTAAAGTTAAGATGAAAAGATTCAACTGTTTTCAGTTTTTAGCGAGACAATAAACTGTAAATATCAATATCGAATAGCATAAATCAGATAGTGGGGTTTCTTGGCAGTGGGAGCGGTTCCAGCGGGCTGAGATAGGGCGCAGCAAACGGTTTGGTGTGCTCAAATTGGCAATCGCTCGCTTTGTTTGTTTACGTCGTCGAATTCAGCTGCTCCCAGCGGTTAGTGTAGCACTCGAGTTCGGCGCGCGCGGAGGTTTACCACATTTCCCGCTACGATATATTGCTTGGCTGAATGAATCGCTAATTCCTTTGTCTACGCGATAATTGCAGCGATCACTTTGTTAGAAAGAGTGTGTGCGATAAGGCCGTGACCTTCCCCTGAGTAGAATGCCCCGAGATGATGAGGACCCAATCATCGGCAGTGATGATGAGGCGCTGGAAACCGGAGTGCTTGCCCCACCCACCAATCGGTTTTTCGGTGGCTCAGCCAGCTGGCTAAAACGACCCCGCTCGCTGATTCTAGAGCCCGCTGTGTTTCTGGTTTTCTTTGGCAGATTCCTAACAGGTGTGTATGATCGCAGCTTTCGCAGTGGGCGTCTATAAATCGGATTCTACTCCCCCGCCAGATGCCGTCTATCAAAACCAGATACTCTACCAAACCTGCGTCACGGTCATGGAATATAATGCAACCGAGTGCGAGCCATTTCTCGGTACGGATCGTGCCTCCGATGAGGTTAAGGTATGTTGTAAAGAAATAGGCAACGGGGCGTATACGTATTTGTATCCAATAATGTATGCGATTTCACGACTCTGACGAGCACAGCTAGGTGGAAATTACATAAATTACACGGGTGTATTGCGAATTTATTGGTAGTTAATTGTATTTCAATTAGCAGTAATTGCTGTGAAAAGAAACGGAGAGGTACTTACTGTTTGATAAATAAAAGTTTTCTGTGTTCTTGTTGAATTGCGCACACAATATTGATATGTATACATGATTTGTTTAATTTTGTACTGCTTATCAGTACACTAAAGCCAAAGAAAACGATAGGGCTGAGAATTATAAAGTGGAATACGAGTATAATGAAAACAATACATTTTTTCTAAAAACGCAATATACAGATTTAAAATAAAGTTTTATGGTTTTTCTCCTTTTGAATGCCAACTGTTGCACCTGTTGCTGCTGCAGTTGACCAAAACAAAAGTAAGCCCCAATCGTTTATGACTAATAGACCGTCTTATCACAAAAAGTTATCGAGCAGAGTATACAAATCGGGTGTTATATTTTGACACACATGTGTGCAGATAGTTAAGCCTTGCCAGAACCCCCTCCCACTTAGTGATTCATAGAAACGTGACGACAAGAATTCAGGCTTATCAGCACCAGAGAATCCCATATCAAACAGAGTTCCCACTTTGCAGAAGATCGAGGGGCAAGTTCAGGAGTATGCCTCCACCATCACGATGATAAGCTCGATGCTCGAGAGCACCGTGCCTGCCATAGTGAGTCTCTTCCTGGGACCCTGGTCGGATAAGTTCGGCAGACGGCCCATCCTGCTGTCCACATTTACAGGTGAGAGGAAGTATTATATACACCCCTAAAATGTCTAATGTATGTATTACTTTTTAGGATACTTCATCAGTGCCATTATTCTGATAGTTCTTACACAAGTAACGGCGGCCACCAACATCAGTCCCTGGTGGTTCCTGTTGTCCTCTACGCCATCGGTGTTCAGTGGGGGCACTTGCGCCCTCATCACCATCCTCTACTGCCATGTTTCCGATGTGGCCACCGAGGATAAGCGAGCTATGAGGTAGGTGGAAAGATTATCATATCATGTAAAATCTTGTTGTACAAGTTTTGAATGTACAGGTCAGCATAAACATAAACTCAAAATCATATTTTAATATTATTATAATTGTTGTTCCATAAAATCAAGTGTATATTGATGACTCATATAACTACTTATAACTAACTACCTTTCCTTCAGAATGGTGACCATGGAAGCTGCCCTGGGCCTGGGTATGATGGCTGGCGGTGTGGCCAGTGGCTACATCTATGCCGCCACCGGAGCGTCAACACTTTTCATCTTGGTGGGCTCCATCATCTCCATAGCGCTAATCTACGTCTACTTCTTTGTGCCAGAGAGTCTCAAGTCTGAAGATTTGCAAACTGGGGTAAGTATACAAAACTAATATCTCTCAACTGTTGCTAAATGATGTAATATTCCCTCAGCCCCGCATTCGCGAGTTCTTCCGTCTGGATTTGGTGAAGGTTCTTGTGAAGACTTGCATAAGAAAACGCGAGAATTACGATAGAGCTATTATCTGGTTTGTCATGATGTCGCTGACCTTGTGCGTTTTTGCTATGGGTGAGTTGAGCTTATCAAACTAGTTCAAGACTTGGAGCTAAGTACTCATTCGACTTTTCAGAGGGCGAGTCCACAGTGAACTATATGTTCATGCGGAAGCAGTTCGACTACACTGTTCAGGACTACAGTGTCTTTAATGCGGCAAGGGTCGTCATCCAAGTGGTGGGCAGCACCATCGCCATGATCCTTCTGCGTCGTCTTTTGGGGATGTCCACCATTATGATGACCCTCCTGGCCTTCGCCTGCTGCGTCCTGGAGAGCACGGTCAGGGCCACGGCCGTGTATGGCAGCGAGATGTACTTGGCCCTGATTCTGGGCATGATGCGCGGGGTTATGTCGCCCATGTGCAAGGCCATTCTTTCGCACGTCACTCCCAGCTCGGAATTGGGTGAGTCACAGAAGGTTTCAAAAGACCTGGTAAATTACTAATCTATTACTTTCACAGGTAAAATCTTCTCCCTAACCACCTCGCTGCAGTCCATCTCACCCCTGGGAGCTGCACCTCTTTATACGGCCGTTTACCAGGCCACAGTTAACATTTATCCCGGCTTCTTCAACTTCATCAGCGTAGCTCTGTACTTCCTGTGTTACTGCATGTCGGCGTAAGTAACTATAGATACTTCAAATTACTTTCTGATATTAACTTAACATTCCATTTCAGAGCGGTCTTTGGCATTCAAAAATCCATGGGCAGCGACAATGTTTACCAGGCCATCGGAAGTTGATCTATTTATTAATTCTTATAAAAGAACCTAGCCATTCACAAGCCAGTGTATCAAGAAGTTTTTAATTCTTTTAAAAGTATTATTACACATATTTGTATATGTAAAATGTAAATATCTAGCTTTAGGATAGGTCTTATATTTATACTTCACAACATTTACCAAAGAACAAGGGCTAATAAATTGTACAAATTGGTCTTTCATTAAAATAAATGTCGATGTAAAGGTTCACAGTAAGTCTATACAAAAAATTCTCACAAAAGTACGTCGATTGACGACTAAATTCCATTTACGTTATTAAAATTTCCCAAAAATAGTCTCAAAATAATTTGAAAAATGTTGATAGGACCCAATACGTCCACATTACTTGGAAATTATATATTTATTGGTAAAAATTCTTTGAAATAAAGAGGAAATTAAATACAGTTGAGCTTGAGTAAATCGAACCCCCATCTGTCAACAAATAATGTTCGCGTTGGCAAAAAAGGTTAAATAAAAATTTTGCTGGAGCGGGCTAAATAATTATTTCCCTCATATAAGGTTGCCATCAAAATATATTCCAGTTATAAGGGATTCAGGTTGTAGGACTAAATTTGTCTTATTTTTGTTCTATACTACCCATACAGATTCTTTGACTTGGAGAGTCGGAACTTCGAGTTCTAGAAGTTTTACTGTATATGTATATATGCATATCCAGATCCGAAATCTAACAATCTATACTTCCGGCAATAAACATATTTTGCTAAGATTATATAAATGGAATTGAGGCTAGCTCAGCTCAGTCGATATCGAGCTTTCATATATAACACATTCCGCAATGGTTTTCACTGCTTTCCATATTTTCTGGTTTCTGGCAATACTTACCCTTCATAACTATGGACAAACGAACGGAGATAACTTTAAAGAACTCTTTCTTTTGCCCAATGGCAAGATGTCATGTGCCAGTGAGTAGATCTTAATAAGCCGTCTGAAAAAAGATACATTTAAAATGTTATAGCAAGAATCGATAAAAAATCCATTTCTTATAAAATTAATAATAATTCATTTTTGAATTCTCAGAGGCTGGTTGCGAGAGTATTAAAACTCCGATGGGGGGAAGTATTGGCATTACCAAAGGCTTAAGGACGGAAATCCAATGCGACGAAGGATTCCTTCTTTTCGGAAGTAAAGTCACTTACTGCAATGGAGCGGAGTGGATCCGTGAGTTGGGAACATGCATCAATAAAACGCAGGACTACTGGTGCGACTTTGAGAGAGAGGATATGTGTGGTTGGAGAGAACATAACACCCAGGACCATTTATGGAAAAGGATCAGCTTTGATCCTGATTTACACTCCAACACTATCCACTATCCCCGCCGGGATCACACTTTCCAGAGCGGCAAAATAGATCACTTTATTCGCATGGAAATGGACAACAATCTCTCCGGGGTCAAACATTTTTTATCCCCCATCTATCCCAAGAACCTTACCTTGGGAAACTCCTTGTGCTTTCAGTTTCACATATTTATGTTTGGAACAGATGTCAAAGACTTGGTGGTATCAGCGAAATTAAAATCAATAACAATCGAAGATATGTTGAAGAATTTTAAAACAAAGTAAGTTTGCTAGATTCTACCTGTTTATTACCCATAGCAACAAATTTAATTACGTATACATCCATCTGTGGATTCTCTAACAGTATAAGTATTTTTCTTATTCCAATTAGTATATTATTTTTTTCTAATGTTTTAGCTCCACCAAATTCAACCATCGGGGCGCCAAGTGGGTTAAGTATTCGATCCCTATCGACGAAATGGATGAGAGTTTCCAGGTGGTTTTCACGGTCACGGACCCTGCATCGCCCCGTGGTGACATTGTCATTGACGATGTGAAATTGATGAAAGGAGAGTGTAGGCACAGCTCAACTAACAAAACCACCAAATCTACTACGCAACCGACGACCACCAAAAAAACAATCGAATCTTCGGCACCATCGACAGCCACTTACAAAACCACCAAACCTACAGAACCCCCGACGAACATTAAAAAGACCATCGAATCTTCCGTACTATTGACGACCACTAACAAAACTACCGAGTCTACTAAGCAACCGGTGACCACTAAAAACACCACCGAATCTTGCGTACCATCGACAACCACTTACAAAACCACCGAACCTACAAAACCACCGACGAACACTAAAAAAACCATCGAATCTTCTGTACCATCGACGCCCACTAACAAAACCACCGAATCTTTTAAGCCACCGACGATTAGTAAGATAATCGAACCTTCTGAAACACTGAAGAACACTAAAAAAACCACCGAGCTTTTAACGCCACCAACATATACATACGAAACCAAAGAATCTTCTGAACCACCCACCTTCATTACCGAATTCACCGAAATTACTGAAGTCACCGAAATGACCGAATATTTTGAAGCACAAATCAGTACCAACCAGAGTACGCTGAACAGTGGGGAAAAATGTTCAAGTGAGGTTAGGAAATATATCATTGTCTTTTTTATTTTGGCAGTTTTATATACATAAGTAAGAAACCTAAAATAAATTAGTGTTACAAATTTTTATCGAGGGTCAGTAAGGGTAAAAACTAAAAAAGCTTTAAAAATGTAAATCGGTTAAATGCAATAAAATTAAGAAGATAGATTATAGAAAATATTCCATTATTAAAAAATCTTTGAAATAAGATAGAACTGAAGTTCTTTCAGAACTTATAGTGGCACTTGGTTAATTCGGTGAGCGCCGAACCCCACCACAGATGTGGATGCGGGAAGTCTGGAGACCCGAGAAATGGGGTTTGCCGGAGTATATAAACCGTTCGATTAGACGACAACGCGATAAAAAAGAAAATAAACTACGAAAATGTATAATTTATTGGGAGAATGCGGAAATGAATTGATATACATACACATGATGTTATGTACATAAGGGTTGACGACTATACAATTTGATAACACCATAATTGCTCTTTGATACCATAATCGATTTATCAGATTTATGTATTTGTCAGGCATAAAAATGAAATTAAAACAAATTTAATCCATAACAACCTTTTTTTTCGTAGAAATTTGTTTAAGTAAAGGAGCCGTTTAAAATGTTATGTTTTTGTGCCTAACATAGAATAAGTACTCAACAGATAAAGTGGTTTGTGATTCATAACAATTTAATAGTCTAAGATGGGATAGCTCTCTTAATGTTACCTTAAAACGAATTAAAAATACTAAAGGGTAAAATATAAATAAGCAAGTCAAACAAGATACATTCGTTCAACCTATAACCGATGATCCCTCACAGTTAAACGCTTGTTTTCCAGATTCGGATCTTTAAATTCGCTCCACTTGTAAATTTTGATTGCTTGGTTGGGGTGATCACATGTTAATTTGGCCACAGATCCGCTGTCGCCGCCTCACTTCAGAACCTTGGCGTAGTGATCTTTGTGCCTATATTTGATCCGCAAGACGTATCTGTGAGGGGAGTTGGAGATGTGTGATCAATTAGCGTGTTTGAAGAGGGGCTTTCCCCGTCAAGCTCACCCGATAAAGACGAATGAGAGCAGGTACAGGAACGAGCTGACGAAGTTGAACAGACCCGGGTAGGTGGTGAGCGACCGCTTGTATATGAGGGTGTACAGGGGAGCTGCCACTGTAATTAGCAGTAAAAGAGTCAATAAAATAATAAACAGTCAAACGGCACTAGCTCCGCTTACCGAATGGCGCAAACGATTGCAAAACATTCTTTATGGAGAAAATCTTGCCTGCGAAAGGGAGAGGTAAAAATAGTTGTACTTGAAAACAGCTGGGAAACAGAAATCGTAAAACTCACCTAGATCCGAGGGAGGTACTATATTCGATACTATAGTGCGGCACATGGGGCCTGAGATGGAGCGGAATACGCCCAGAGTAACCGAGAGGTACATGTGCCAGGGCATCGTTGCAAAGCCCTTGGCCAGATTGTTCAGAATCTCCGAGAAGAAGGCTAGCAGAGCTAAAGTCACAACCGACAGGCGGAAGACCTAAAATAAACGAATAATATAAGTAAGACCTTTCGCCCCTCGTTGGGCGCCAAATGAAAATCTCACCTTCCGCAGGATTAGAAATCCGATGAGTGCTCCAATCATAGGCACCAGGTGGCTGACCGTTTCGAAGAACGTGTAATCCCGCACCGTCCAGTGGAATTTCTCCCGCACGAACAAATACATCACGGTCATCACGCCATCTGGGAGCGATTAATTACATAAGCTTTGGAATTAGCAGGGTTAATTAGAGACTGACCGAAGACGAAGATGGACAGGAACATGGCAAGGGTGACAAGCCAGATGATGGCACGCGCGTGATGATCGCGCCGCTTGAAGCAGGTGCTAATCATGTCTCTGATGTGCACAAAACTGAACAGACCCGCTTTTTTAGACCGCTCCTCCGCCTGCTTCCGCTTCAGCTCCTCCTCCGCCGCCTTCTGCGGCAGTCGCTCCACGTACTTGGCCAGTAGATCATCGTCGAAGCTCATCGCTGGTGTTGCCGGCGTGGGCAGCTCCATCTTCTTATCCTTCTCGGGTTCCTCTGGGTCCATGAAGTTCGGTGGACAGTCGATGGCCACGCGGTCCAGTTGCAGATCGCAGGCGGTGATGGGCACCTCCTTCTCCTTGCAGTCCTTTTCCTTATTCGCAGCGATCGCGTTCTTAGTATCTTGATTTTGATGATAGTGCAAGCTCTCCGGCACAAAGAAGATGATAAAGAACGTGGCGAAGGTCACGATGCAGCCGGAAAGGCCAATGGTCGCCGCCGAACCCACAGCTGCGTACACAAAGCTGGACAGTAGGGATCCGCTTGTCAGGCCGATGAAGAAGAGGGACTCCATGAAGATCATGCGGTAGGGACGCGACTTGCAGTCCGTGATGTCCGAGATGAAGCAGAAAGCGGCCACCGAGAATACGCAATTGCCGCCGAGCAGGGAGTGGGGTACTGCTGCCAGGATGTACCACCAGGGATTCACCACATAGTAGCTGGACAGCTCGCAGATGGCGGCCATCATCAGGAAGGAGGCGGAGAATCCTGCAGAGGAAAAAAAATATTTCAAGTGTACTGCAAGACTTTTTCCAAATTTTCTTATAACCCCTAGATCTATTATGTTATTGGATGGACAATTATGATAACCAAAATTTGCATAGCTGGGCTTTTTACTGTTAGTTGTATTTCTTAAGATATTGGTGGTATACCATTAACAATAATTTTAGTTAAATTACTACTTGAATTTTTATAGCTGCAGTTTTTCTGTTAGTTGAATTCTTTAAGTTATTAGGACTTTTAGGGGCATAACTTTTTTACTCAAGACAATAAGTAATATAAGTTATTATACCTCTACAAATATGTTAAGCAAGAAAAGCTACATTAACTCATTGCTTGGCAAACTCTGTTCTTTAGTTAAATTATAAATATAATTTGCATAGCTAAAGTTTTAAGCATATTTTGCAATATTTACTTTTATTCCCATATCACAACTTAGGAGTATAAATTGTTCTACTCGAGACAATTAACTAGAGAATTTAGTATACCTGATCAACTATGCTAAGTAAGGGAAATTCTATTGTGATTTCTCTCTATGATTGTGTAATACGCGTCTGACGTTTACTTAAATTACTTGCTCGAAATGGTTCGTTAGTTAGAAGTTCTTCCTTACCTATCATAGAAACAATTAGCAGGGGCTTGCGTCCATAGTGATCCGACCAGGAACCAATGAAAAGGCCGCAGAAGGCTGGGACAATGCTTTCCAGGAGGGTGCGACTTAGGAACAGGTTGGCCACATACGGCTGCAGCTCCGTCTCGATGGCCTGCAAAGCGGAGGAGAAGGAAGATCAGGCTGGAATAATTCTAGATAGGAAGAAATCTAGAACTCGAGACCCACATTTATCTCGGCGCTGGCGTTCTTCACGTCCAGTTGCTTGCAATCGGACTCATTGTAGTGAAAGATCACCGTGCACGTCTGGTAGATGACCTGGTTGCGCTGGATAGTGCCTGGATGTGAGGTCGGATGGTAAGTAGATGCTAGATGCGAAGCACTCCAGACCGGGTCACTCACCCGATAGCGTGTGCGAGAACAGCAGCATGAAGACAACCGGTTCTATGTAGAACATATGAAACACCTTTTGCCATTGCAGATTTCGGAGCTTTTCTAGCGTAAACGCATTCGAGGCCTTCTCCACCATGGCTTGTTTGGTTTTGGACAAGTTCTTGAACCCGATTCAATGTCTAGCCGGTTGTGTTTGGTTTTTTCGAACTTGGTGGTGGCTCCTCAATGGCACATTGCAACACCTGTCACGTAACCGCGATGCGATGGGAGAAAATCCCCTGGCGCCCGGTACTTCCGATCAGATTTATGGGTTACTAATGCCTAATTCGATTATTATTCAAGCGCTTGATTGCCGCGATAGCCGGGAACACGAAACCGAATTCAACATCCAAGCCAATACAATCCAATCCGACGGCGACGACACACGGTTTGCAATTAGAGTTTCGTTCTCGAAATGAGCGGCTGCCGCGCGATCCATGGGCTTATATAGTGGGTCTCTCGGCGGTGGCGGAATCGTCAATAGCCGGCGAATACAGCAGGTACACAGTCACACAGGTGAACAGTTGTTCATCTAGGGCCGCATCAGTTCCAGCGGCTTCCAGCTTCGTTGGATTCACGGGAAAATGTGGAAAATGTATTGCAGGCCCGCCTAACCAGATTCCATTCCATTCAAATCGAATTCGGCCAAATTCCATTTCCCTGCCGGTCGGGCTTAAATTAGATTTGGGCCCTAGTACCAAAACTCAGAGCAGGCTTTTGATGAGTGAAACGTGAATTTTTGTTTGTTTTATTTTCGCTGGCAAATTCATAGTAATTTGCGTATTTTTGGATCGTGCAAATGAGTAGCACGAGTCTAAAAAGTGTTTAGTACTTCTTCAGACCGAAACCCGAAAATACCGGAGATATTGCGATGATGAATAAAACTATTAACACACATTTTCATGATAATTTTTAGTTTTTTGTTACCGCAGAATTGCCATATGGACAATAGGTTAACCTTTCTGCTCTATAACACTTATTAATTCCCACATTTTCCTATCAAGAAAATAATTTGTTAATCTTAAATTTAGATGACAAGCATTATATAAGAAAAGTCACAAAACTCACGAAATCGCTATAGTTTTAATTATATTTGCGTTCGATAATTATTTTATATTAATTTTAATTGGTCTGCTGTCAATTCATGCGATATGGTCTGATACGATCCATGTAGAATTTCAGGGATTTCGTTCTGCTCTGTTGGGCCACTAAATTCGTGCGTAAATTGAGTTCCATTCGGTTTGTTGCTCATAACGCTCGATCAAGGGTTTTTACACCTGGCGACTAATTTAAAATTAGCAAGTGAAATTAGCATTTGCTCAAATCTCTAGTTAGCACCAATCATTAGGCACACAAACGGATGCACAGTCTTAATATTTTTATCTATATCCCGTAAAAATTGTCAAGTGACCGCGCACACGCCACAGGTTTGCGGCAATAATAACCCATATTTTTGTTAATGAGAAAATATTTTGAGTACTGTAGTTAAACAATTTTTCCCAAGGGAAGGGAGAGTGAGATCGCGAAAGATAAGCAATGTCGAGGGTATGCGATACTACAATTCCTCTGGCTTCACACATTTTTATACGACTGAATGACAATCGAATATGTAAATAAGTATATGGATGAGTGGATTTTGTGTTAAGAGGTAAATGGGGGAGTTCCCAGCGTAACTAATAGCCAAAGTTTGGCATGATCGGCGCTTTCTTCCACTCTTCTTGCTCTTTGGACTAAACGATAAATCACTTAAAGACCGGTTCGTAGTACACCTGATTTCTCGACTTCCGAAGCCAAACAATGCTGAAATATTTGGCATTAACTTTATTGGAAACCAATCGTATGTGGGTCAAAAAACTTACCCCAGAAGTATAATGGCTATGCCATGTAGAAAGGCGCTAAAAACATTGAAAATACCCGGATCACTGTCCAATGTTCGGGTATAGATCGCAACGTACAGAGTAGATGATATTAAAGGGGAGAGTGCTTGCAAGACGCCAAGTAGGGCGAAGATTTTACCTGGAATGGGAAACCACAGACAAGGGTAAAAAACATAAAATGAAGGTGTACAATCTGTATTTACCCCGTTCATCGGCCGGCAGTAGATTGGTGATCATGGTGCGACACATGGGATTCACAAGGGATTTAAACACGCCCAATCCTATGGCCACATAGATCTGCCAGCTGACCAAGGCAAAGGCCTTCATAAGGCTACTGGAACAGTGACTCAGAAGGGATACCAAGGCCAGCCACAGAACTGAAGATTTGGTGCACTGTCAATCATAGGGAGAGGTAATATTAGTAAAGGTTCAGTTGGACACCCCCAAAACTCACCATTCTCAGGGACCAAAGGAAGAGAACTCCACCGGAACCAGCCACTGCAGGTACCAAGATGCTAACCGTCTCGTACTCGGTAAACTGCTTTACGGTCCAATGGAACTTGATCCTCATAAACTTGTAGAACACAGAATTGCTACCGTCTGGAAATGGGGAAACACCATTATAAATAACTTAAACGGGGATATACAGGTTTGACGCCTTACAAATCTGATATAATTATATATAAATATATTAAACAATTGATTATATATCAAAGGGGATAAATTATTAATTATATATGTGGTTGATTAACCGTTTTCAGGGTTCTTAGTTAATTTAACAAGTCAATATACATTATAGTCACCTTGATTTTAACTTTTTATGTTTATAGATACTTATTGAACGGTGTTTGAATTATAAATTAATATTTTTGGGACTTACCTGCGACAAAAGCGGTAAGCAGCAGCACTACCATAATGGTGAGCAAAATAAAGCGATTCTTGTGTTCGCGGGGCTTCGTGCAGGTTCTCCACAAATTCTTCAGAAGAGAGAACACACTAGTGTCTGTCGATGAAGTTAATTGTACTCGATTCCTCATAGGCAAACTCTCCGGAAGTAGAATCGTCATCAGGAAGAGGGCCGCGAAAATGGACACAGCAGAAATGCTGAACACAATATAGGAATCGGTGTCCTCATAGGCATAACCAGAGCCAAAGCTACCAAGGAGCAGGCCCACATATATGGCCAGTTCGTAGGCGATCAACCTAAAGGTAAAGTAAGATCTAGTTAAAAGAAATTACGTTATTTTATATGACTATGGACCTATATGATCGAACTCGACCCTCAGAGACATCGCTGATAAAGCAAACGGCCGCCACGGAATAAGTGACACTGCTTCCTAGGCAGGAAAGTGGTACGATGGAGAGCACGTACCACCAGGGACTAACCAGTCCATGAGTCTGAATAGCACAATAAGATATCACGGCTGAAATGAGATACTGCAGGCCGTAGCCTGGTAATCGGGAAAATATAGAAAGATTTAAATGATTAACAATTGGCCGGACCCACCCAGAAAGGACCCCATTAGCAAAGGCTTGCGGCCATAGCGATCCGCCCAGGATCCGGCGAAGAGTCCACAGAAAGCAGGAATGAAACACTCTACTATCCGCATAGCCAAAGTAACCTGGGCAGCATATGGTTGCACTAGCTCCTCAATTCTCTAGAAATTAAAGAAATGGTTATGATATAGCATGAATTAACTCCCCAAAAGTTGATGCATCAACCTTTGTCTCATTCGTGGCATTCTTGGTGCCCAGCAGCTGGCAAACGCTATCCGGATAACCAAAACCCGCTGTACAGCTTTGGTATATGACTTCATTCTTCAAAACGGTTGCTGAAATCCGGGGAAACACCCTTAAATTAATAAATAGGTCTAACTGAGTTACTCTCACTGTACTTACACGAGAAATTGTAGGCAAAGAGCAGGACTAAAATGAAGGGCTCGAGTAGATATATGCACAGTGATTGAGGACTTGTAGCCGGTGTATCTCCTGGAAGTTCAGTAGTCCCGGAAATGACCGGCACTACCGACTTAAGTCTTTCGCCCAGACTCTCCTCGCTACTTGTGCTGCCAGCTTCGGGATCCTCATCACCGGATCTCTGGGCTTTGGCAACCAAATTTTCATGGGCATGAGGTTCCTCGTTCATCTCTGTAGTTCGACTGAGTCTTACAATTGACTAGTTGCCTCAGACGACAGTGGACACGATTTCAGATAAAGAGACGGAATACACATATGTGTGGGAGCTGTTCTCTTAGCTGGGATTTCCATTCGGAATCCGTGTACACCAAGTATACGCTCCTTCTGTCAGATCTCCTAATCACAAATCCCAAAAAAAATTGAAAATAGTTCGTATATCACTTATCAATCTGTTATTTTTGTTTGTTTTATGAATATTATTTATATTTTTGTGATCATAAATGACTTTTAATTTGACTATATCGGGCTGGCACTGTATCTTTATTGTGATCCCCAAACGTGAGTCAGTTTTGAACTCAGCATTTGCTCTTAGGGACTTTTTTTATTGACTTGACGTGCCTTATCTGAATTAAGAGTTGAGTTGTGGTTGCAAAACAAAAGATAAACCCTCATTAATATGCATGTTGTGAATCGAGTGGCAACTAGCTTAGTTAATTAATGATCGATTTTCCAATTTGTGCTAAAGGCACACTGATTTTTTAATAAAAATTAAGATTGAAAAAATTCCTTTTTAGTTTCATACCTTATTAAATTGTAAATTCATAGAAATCATAAATCCGAAATGCCTTATTTCCTTGTTGAGAAAATTGTCAAATTGCTAGATTTCTTAAATTCAGACACCAGGCGAACATAAACGTTTAGCAGGTGGAGAAACGATCAGCTGATTTGTTTAATCGAAGCTAATCGGAGATGCCCTCGTGACTGCTTACTTTTGGCACGGCCTATGCAAATGCATAGGACTTCACTTTTATTTCGTGCATTTCGTGACAATCTCGTGACACGGCCATAGTTGCTCATCTCTAGTCTGTGTTTTGTTCTCAACTAACGGTTGTTTCCCATGGTGATAGATTCCTATTGGTCAGTTGTGGGAGGGGAAATATGGAAAGGGCCGCCATTTTGAAAATTAACAGTTATTAAAGTTCACCTTTAGCTACCAGCTGTCACTTGCTAAGTTTTCTGTTTGCCTGGTGTCTGAGGGCCACAAATCTAGCACTTTGACTGAAAAAATGTTACGAATCCTTTTAATTTGTTAAAGTAAAATAGCGATTTTTCAATTTCAAACACCAAGTGAGCAGGAAAATTCGAAGGTGGCCAACAATTAATTTTAAAGGCCTATCTAGAGGTGTGCCACTTCAAAATATGTGGGGGCTTTGTTGCCGATCAAGCGATTGCCCATCTCTAGTCTGCTTATACCAAGCTAACGGTTGTCTTCCAGTAAGAAAACGTTAGCGCCCAGCAGCCACCTGCTACGGATTCTGTTGGCCTGGTGTCAAAGAGCAAGAAAATAGCTGTTCAGCTCGCAAGTGCAGATCAATTTAGTCAGGAAAACTCATTTATTTTAAATTCTTAAAGCACCTAGATGTAGGCATAAAATATGTTCACGTTTGTTTTTGCAAAAAATGTTCAAAAATTAAAGCTCAATTCCAATCGATACAGAATTTAATAAGGAGTTCAACGGTGTATGGCACTCCTTATTAATTTTAATTATTTTTATATTTATTATATTAATAATTATAATAATAATAAATATTATGTAGTTTTATTGGTTTCTAGTGATAAGCAGAATTGGAATTTAACCGCGCAGCCATCGAAAAGTAATCAATTTGACAAATTATCGATGATTATCTTTCGATTTCGATATCTCTTAAAAAATAAACAAATAAAAGCGCGCAAAATGGATCTTCAACTTATGATTTTGCAAACTTCTACGGGGAAAATGCTATCCGAATATCAGTTAAATTTACTGAATAAAAACAATATTGAATCCCTGATCGATTTTTATAAGGCGGATGAGAAGAAACTTCACGAATTGCTGCTCATCAATGTAGAATCCGTCCGGAAGCTGAAGAAGGAATTGTCTATGTTGCCCAAGGCGCCCGATGAGGTTAGCGCTCTGGATGTTGAATATGGCACGGGAATAGAGGAGTAAGTGATTAAAGCACTTTTCCAGAAGTAAAATATATATCTATGATAACCGATCAGGTTGGACAAACTGCTTACCTCCGTGAAACAGCGCTTTAAGCCGGGCAGGGTCTGGGAGCTCTGTGGACAGACCGGCGTGGGCAAGACTCAGGTGATGTACACCTTGGCCGTGAATTTCGTTTGGAAGCACGCCCCGCCAGTCCTATTCATTGACACCAAGCAGGACTTCTCCTGCAAGAGGATACAGGACATGCTCCGGGCCAGGAACACCGATGCGGAAACCACTGACAGAGTCATGAAAGCCATCCAGGTGGTGCAAGCTCACACAGTCACGGACCTTATTAATGTGCTGATAACTTTCGATCAGCAACTGACCGCCAAGATAGAAGCCGCCGTAAAAACCAAGTTTGTGCTTATTGATTCCCTTGGAGCTTACTTTGCCCACTATCGCGGCAGAAGGATGCAGAGGCTAAGAAAATCCCTGCTGGTGGAGCTCGCTTGCAAAGTCCGCAAACTGGCTGTCCGGGGCGTGGCCTTTATCATCGGCAATGTTTCCTTTTTTGAAAAAGATGGTATACACTTTATACAGTTCTATATTACGGAATTGATACTATTTGCTAAGTTATTTTAACAGATAATGGCTACGATGACGGCGAGGACGATGGCAACAATGAGGAGGCGGCGACGCCACAGCAGTTGGAACCTATGCTGGGTGCCTACTGGAGTTCGGTGTGTACGCTGAGACTGTCGCTGGAGCTCCCAGTGGATGAGGACTTTACCCGCCAGGATGACGGCCTGCGTTTGATGCATGTCATCTCCAACACATACGGCCCCGATGGTGACCACTGCCTGCTGCGCATCACGGAGGCTGGCGTGGCTTAGCGGCGGGCAAATGGATTCTGCGGATTGTGCTGCTTGTATGACTTCATTACCCGTTTGCCCGGCTCCAGAGCATCACCCAGTCCAGGATGCTTGCGCTTGTTGGGTTGCACTCGTGCAGCCTCCATGACCACGGGCACTGGTGGATCCGGTACTGCACTCTTCTCCGCCGCCTCATCCACGGACAAGTCGGAGTCATGGGCGTACTGGCAACTGGTGCCGAAGCGACAGCGTCCCCTCCTAAAGTTCCAACAAAGCTTGCGACCGTTCTTCAACTGCAGATGCGAATCGTTGTCCACCATCTTCACGTGCCGCTCCAGCGAGGCGGTCTTGTGTAGCTCCGCCTCCAGGAAGGGATTGCTGAACACATCGCCCTTGCCGGCGCCTTGGGCCAGAGCCTGGCTAGCACTGGGCAATTTGGGAGGAGGCTTTTCAGCTGGCGGCGCACTGGAGGAAAACAAAGCAAATGGAGTTCCAATACCAATTCAGGGTTCTGAAGAAGCTCACGCTTTAGGCTCCTCCTCTTCGGAAGATTGGCTGCTGCTCTCCTCATCGGATTCGGAGGAATCGCTATAATCTGCAACCAGCGACATTTGTTTTATTTTGCTTGCACCTGGAGTAAACAAAATGTGTGTATAAAAAATTCTCTAACGCGTTTTCTGGCCACACATAAAAAATACTAAAAATATACTTATTAATACCCTATATTACCTGAAACAAAAATAATACTCGCACTTTTAAAAATTAAAAAGAACTTTAATTTAAATTAAAAATTGTTTTCTTCCTAACTAAAAATAGGTTTGTAAGATTTCTGAGTCTATCTCGGCTTTAAACACTTGACTTTCATTTTTAATGAATCGGCTTTATTCCATAATATGTATAATCACTTTATGCATGCTCTAGTTAGGTTGTTTATGATCGGTGTATAAACTAATAACTAATTATTTATACAATTTTTTTTATAAATATAAAAAATGAAACTTTGTTACAATTTAATAATATGCGGGCTGACGATTGCCGCGCCTGCCTTTTCCACGCTACGTACAATTGGCTGCGAGTGTAAAAAATATGAAAAAGTTTAATACAATAATTGGGGGGAAACCCGTGCAAGTCCGTGTCCGTTTCCATATGTCTGATTCCGTGGCAATCGAAGGCTCCATAATAGCATAATCAACTCAAATGCCGGCCTAGGCCTTAGCCTTGGTCCGGCGGATAACAAGTCGCTAATCGATGGGTGGACGGGCCGAAGGATCGTCGCGATCGATGGGCGGCGGTGAGGTGAGGACTTCCACGCTTTGCGCAGGACCCGCCGTCAGGTAGCCAGCCGTGGGATTGACACCTTTAAAAGGGAGAACTTAATGATATACCATAGTACTAGAGGGATTCTCAACTTACCCGTCAGATAGCCACGTATAGTGGTGTCGGCGATGAACAGGTCGTGGCGCTGATCCTTAAACTCGGCCCACACGGGATGCTTGAGCAGGATCTGCGTGACCCGATCGCCGTAATTGAGATTGTGCGTCATGCCTTTTAGCGCCGCCACTATTTGCGCCTTAACCGCCGAAGGATTGTCCACGAACTCAAGACGACTGTCCAGCAATCCCAGCAGAAATGGTATAAGACCCACTTCTAGGGATTGACTGATAAGAGAGTCCTAAGAAAATGCACCCATTAATATCGTTGTATGAAACACGAAAAATTTTGAGTATTAGAAAAACTTTTTAAAACCTTACATGCTGGTGCTTAAAAAGGCGGCTGAGAGCCTCGCAGGCCTTCTCGATGCAATCCCTGTTGTGCTCCATGCACTTCTTTAACGGCGCCACACACTCCGTCTGCGAAATGGCACTCACGCAGAACTAAAAGGTATTATCAAGACTTTAAATTACACTACAACTAGAAAGTTAATAGCAGCCTACCTCAGACAGCGAGAGCTGATGTAATACTGATAGCGTGTTCTTTGGCTGCACCGAGAGCAGGTTAAACAGTTTTGGTATGTGTCCAAGCACTGGTATGTCGTCCGCCAGATTGGGCTGCGAGCGTAGAAGCTCAACCAGCGCCGTGGTGGACAGGTCGAGCACATCCTGCTCGGAGGAACTCTTGCCGATCTGCTCAACGACAAAGTCCAGGAGGTCGGAGAGGAATTGCTTCGGCTTGCGCAGCGTCCAGGCAGGATTGCTGACGAACAGTCGGAGGTAGACGCCGGCCACGACGATTTCATTGGATACAATGTCTTTAAGTATTTCTGGATCCTTCCACACATGGCGGGGATTCTGCTTCTGCAGCTGATAGAACCTGTAAGAAAAGCAGTCGTAAGAGCATGGACAACAAAGCGGGAGCCTACCATTGATTACCTTTGGCACGTATCGGCCACAGCATCGCAGACATTCGATCGCGTGCTGTCGTTCCAAATCAGCTCTGGATGTTCGTGAATAGACTCGAAGAGCTGCACGGACGTGGGCGGCGACTCCACCATGGCATCGATGAACAGAGCTGGTAGGAATTTTGACACCGTAATCCGTACCTTGGGACCGCTAAGGCGATCCGCCGTCATCTTAGCTAGAATTCCCGCGCACATCTCGCGGATCTGCGGGTTACGGGAGTTGCTGAACATGTCCAACAGATAGATGGTGGCGCCCTTGGTCTGGGCTTCCTTAATCATCTCTTGCACGTTCATCAGTCCTGACAGAGTTTCCAGCACTTTCACTTGGCTGGCACGCAGCTCTGGATCCTTGAGGGCCACCAGATAGTTGCCCAGAATCTCACAGGCTGCCACCTCCGAGACGCACTCCTTGTTTCGCGAGACCAGAGAAACCACCTCCAAGGCCACCGTTTTAACAGTAGAGTTCTGCAAAACAAAAGGGTTATTAAATGCCTCACGAAAAACCAAACAAAATCCTTACATCGGAGAATATGTTACTGGCCAGGAAACCAAAGATCATGTCAAAGTTTCCGATGCACTGGATCTCCACCTCGGCGTTCGCCTTGATCACTGCTATCAATGCTTTCAGCACCATGGTGATGTGCAGCTCAAGCTTTGTGTCGCTGCCGAAGTCATATTTGCTCTGCTGCAAGGCCAACTGCTGTTCCGTCTGGGCGTCCGTCTCCAGTTTTTTCCGGCTCTTCGATCGGTTGTAAGCAGTAAGAACCTCATCGAAGGTACTGCCTGGTTTGCCAGTCGAAGCCTGCTGCAACTGGGGATGATTGGGCGCTAGAGTGGGGGTCAGAATGCCATCACTGCCCATTTTAGGAGCAGCGCTAGCGGCACCAGCAGCTGATGCCGGATTCTTCTTGTACTGCAGAAACTGAAAGGCGTGCTTTAGGTATTCCAGCAGATCCATGATGAAAAGCTTCGGCTGAGCAATGGGATGGGTGGGCATATCGTTGTAGATGCGTATGAATATACCGCCGATCTGCAGCTCGTCTCTGGATAAAATCGAGGTTATAAACAAATTTTCCAGCTTCTATTAGATTACTTACTTGTGTGCATCGAACTCAAAGCTTGAAACCAGCTCAGCGACCTGGGTAATGTCCTCAAGCGTCTCCTTGGCGGAAGCCGTCCGCTGCTGCTCCAGGAAATCCTTGAGCTGAGCGCGGGTGCCATTGTCCCAGATGAGGTAGGGATTTCGGGTGTTCGCCGTGAGCAGCTTGAGCACGTCACTGTCGCGGCCCGTTGCCAACTGGTTGGCTATGTAACGGGTAAGCAGGCGATCCAGCACCTTCTTGATCAGTGCGTTTTTCGCTTCCCCAGTCACAATGTACTTCTGCTGGATGGCACTGGGACTGCTCTTTGCCAGCTGCTGTTGCTGCTCGCTTTCGGTGGGCGTGGAACTTGAGGTGTCACTGCTACCGGACGAGGTGTCCGGCTCCTTTTCCTTCCCGCTCGTGATGGCCAGCTGTTTGCTCTGCAGCGGATTGTGGGCGTTCTGGGTGTACGTTGAGCTAGAGGCAGCAGGCAAAGATGGCTTCGGTTTGATGGCTGGTGGCGCCTTGCCCGCTGGCGAGTTTGCTTCGCTTCCCGTCACCGGCTTTTGTCGCAGCTCCATGCTGTAACCTGCCAAGGAGATGCACCCGAGGACGGCCATCTTTGCCAGGTTGTTGGCCAGCTGCTGCTGGTTAGACTTGTCGCTGACCTCTACACCGCTTTCGTCCAGCGTGTAGTCGTACTCGAAGATGAACAGCAGCAGGGACCAAAGCACGCCATTTCGAGACAGTTGACATTGCAGGTCGTAGTTGTTGGCCGCCAGACTAGTCACCAAGCTTACCGAGAGCGTGTGCTTGAAGTAGACCACCCGGCACACGTCCGACAGCAGCTGTGGCAGCTGGATGATCTTCTGCTTGCACTTCTCAAAGTTACACGCTACTTCGAAGCAGCGCGTCACGTTCGATATGACCTGGTAGTGCAGTGAATCCGGCTTGGAGTCTACTCCCAGAATGGAAACGCAGCGGGTATAGGCCTCCAGAAGCGCCTCGATACCTTCCTCCCGACGCAGTTCTTCAGCATTTAAGGCGGAGCAATGAACTGTGTGGTAACACAACTCAGAGGCAGCTGTCAGCAGTTGGGCCTCTTTGGAGAAAAGCTCATCATCCCGGGTCTCCAGGCGAATGGTCTTAATGAGCTGTGGGTAGCCAGCATATTTGTACGGTCGCAAAACTATAATAAACAAATAAATAAAGTGTCCGACTTAAAAAATTGGCAAGTACTCACCATCCGGATAACGCTCAAATAGAATGCTCTGTGTGCGCAGTATAAGCACAATATTATTGGGATCTGGCCCACCCGAGCTCCAGACGTTTCGCGAACAAAGGAACTCATACGCCTAAAAGAATAATGGCTGTAAAGAATCATCGATTATCAGTTGGTTCTTGATCTACGCACCTGATTCACTTTCTCGAAAATCTCTCGCCCATTGGGATTCTTGTCAGGATGATACATCTGCGCCAGCTTGTAGTAGCTCTTGCGAATCATTGACTCATCTGGCTTAGGAGTCTTGGTGAGGTCAATGCCTAAGTCTTGGTAGGCCTGTTGGATTGTCATCTGAGGAGGCTTCTTCTCCACCTCCTTGCGCCAGGCGTCGAGTGTGTGCTTAAGGAGTTGCACCGGATCTGAGATGGGCCAGTTGGGGAACTTTTGGGTATCGCACAGATGACGCAGGTAGTAGATGTGACAGAAAAGCTCATTCTCCAACTGTGGGTAGCTGATCACTGGAATGGCCAAGTACGGATACCTAGCCATTGTATGGCCACGAAGTCGAGGCGTGAAGTCCGCGATATGGGCGGCGATTTTCTCTATTAGTAGACGTCGCATCTCTGAGCTCCATATCACCTCGGGCGTGTCGAACTCGCCAAGGAATATCTCCGCAAACTTTTCTGCGCTATAGTTTTCCAGGAAACAGACCATAGCCTCGGGCAGCAGCTGACCAAGGATGCTACGGTGCATGATGCCGGATTGAGAGGTCTGTGATCGAAAACAAAAATTAATACTGACTTCAGCCATAGGATGTAGTATTAACCTCTTCGCTGCGGAATCCCTGCTTCATATGCGTCATCTTGAGGAACCTGGTGATCGGCAGAATATTGCTTCCTGTGTACATGAGCATGAAGTAGAAGACTCCCGTGAGGTAGACTTTGGGCATTTCCGGATTGTCCTCCATAATCTGGTAGAGCAGCGTGGCCACGCGCTCAAGCAATCCGGGATCGTGGGTTAGGCACACTTGTACCACATGGGGAAGGCAGATGAACTCCGAAAGTTTGCGCGACAACTTTGGACCTGGGATGAGCACTGCTACACCATTTTGGGTGCGACTTGGAAAGAAGCTGGTACACTTGATCAGTATGTCTAGGATCTTTGAAGACAGCTCAGTTTCGTCGTAGAGCGGTGTGCCCTTGGCGATGAGGCACCACTTCAGTTGGGGGATCTGCTGTAGCGATCGCCAGCCATCCATGCCGATGGCCCAGCAACGAGTTTTTGGCGTGATGAGTCCCTTCTGCCAAAGTTCCTTGAGCTCCGAATAAGTGATGGGTCCCTGACGCTCAGGCTTCTGGCCATCCTTCTCGATGTTGTAGTACCAATCCTTCTCTTCGTACGCAGCCATATTGGGACCTGCTTCAATAACATTCGTTTTGGTATTGAGCTGGGCCCGTCCCTTGTGCAGATGGGCCAGAGTGATGAGATCCACTAGGCACTGTACATGATCGATGAGGGCTCGACTGTTGGATTTCTCCAGAACCAGGCAAGAAATCAGGTTGATCAGGGCATCGCGCATGGAGGGGGATAGACACTAAAAGGGATTGAAATAGTATTAATAACGAATAACAAATTTTAATCTTCATTAAACACACCCTATCGCTGAGCTGCAGAATATAAGACATATCGTTAAACTTGCCAATCTCGGCATGGTAACGGCGGTAGACTTTAGCCAAAGCCTGCAGGGAAAACACAGTCATCTGGTCATCATTTACGCGCTGGCGGCACAACACGCGTCGATACAAGGCATTAAACAGCTCAATTCTTAAAGGATAATTGGGTTTGAATTTGCATATTGAGCTAGTCAGAAGAGCGAACTCACGGATCCTTCACTAGATTCTGGGGCCAGTCGTCCTTCTCCAGGATCAAACGAATGTAATAATCTCCAATTTTGATTTCATCAGCTAGACATTGGTAGCCAACCTCGAATTCCTGATAATTCCAAGCAACAATCATCTGGCCAGCCAAGTCACGATCGTTAAGGAACTGCCGCAGCTCGTTCTCCAGACACATGCGCAACTCCTCACGGGTCTACAAATATGTTTTTAAACAATTACCCTACATAACAAATTACATCGGAATACGTACCTTGTGATTCCATATTAAATTTGGGAGACTATGATCTTTGGCAAAGCTGTAAAAGAAGAAAGGCAGATTCACAACGACATCAGATGTCTTTTTCTTCTGGCGTCGATTTCGCAGCACCACTGGACGGTTCTTCAGCGCCTGAGCCGCTCCATCCTGCTTCTCGATGAGGTTCATGCCCCAGTGCTTGATGCCTTGTAAATGCTTCTCTATCACATTTTTGCGGGTTTTGTTGGAATGTTGTATTGCGAATTTGAGATTGTCTCGGAAATTTAGTTTGTCCTCCTCGACATCTGACTCTGGAACAGAGTCCTCCGACTCCAAGAAGGTCAACAGGCCAGCGGGCTGAAAGAGTAATGTTTAATTACAAATTTGGTCAGAAATACAACAGATTATAACTAACAAAGATGCGTTTAAACAGCTCCATGGCCTCCTCGCTGTCCGTTAGCCACAGTCCAATTAAATGTCGCGACAACTGACGTTGAGTGGTCTGGGTGGGATCATTGGACGGTGTGTACAGGGCCACCAGCAAGTGCCGGCACAGCGCCGCCTCATCCAAAGCCAAAGCCTGCATTTGCTGCGCCACCGGCAGTTCACCCTCCTCTATGATGGCCCGTAGGACCAGACCAGCTCCCTTCACGATCGCCAACGACGGGTGCTGGAATAGTTTGTACAAATAGCGACCACGATCGGCGACCAGCTCCAGCAAAATATCGAACTGCTTGCCGTCAGTGGTCTCGCTGTAAGGCACACACAAGGCAAAGGTCATGAAGTCCAGCATTGCTGAAAGCACCAGAGCACCACTGCCATGGCTCTGAAAATAAAAACAATGTTTGCAAACATTCAGGCGAATAATATGAAATTCTTAAATACCACATGGGTTGTCCACATATTTAGCAGGGTTTCCAGAAACGATTTCGATGACAGAATAGATGATTTATTTAGTTGCTCCTGCTTTAAATCGTGGTCAGAATTAACAGAATGCATTAGTGAGTTTATCATGTCAATGGCGGAGTATGTCACAGCCAGATCCTTGCGCCTTAAAGCGGCCACCACCTTTGTACCGATGATCTCACGAAAACTGAAAGGTAGTGCAACTTTAAAAATTGTTTTATTAAATGGCAATAAGATTATCTTACCCAGTGAGATTCGTAAAGGCTGCGTAGCCCACTTTGCTGGCTAGCAGACGCGTAAGTGCATGGAATATAGCCTCCAGCTCCAAGTTACTTAGCTGTGCCGTGGGGCTGTCCAGCTCTTTTTGCGCCAACGCCTGTAGGGCACTTAAAATGAGCTTATCTTTGTTTTCGGCAAACAAACTCTGAAAATTGGCCCTTTGATTAGAATGATCCTTAAACAATTCATTGGAAAAACCTACATCCTGAGTCACACTGTAGTTAAGGCCACTGTGAGGCACATTAGCATTAAAGCGCTCCAGGATTTCGTAGCGCTTAGAAGGGTTTTGGAAATTGTTGATGACCAGACGCATCAAGTTCGCCTCCGTCTCCTCGTCTACGGAGCTGTTCAGAGGCACATAACGCTTGCCACGCGGGGTGTTGCCAATGCGAACGTGAACATCCTGGTTGCCACTGGAGCGCACTGCATCCAGAACAGTGGCCAACAGCGAGTCTCGATCGTTGGTGCTGTAGCTGCGGACTATTCCGTTCTTGTACTCGATGCTAAAGCGCTGCAGATTGTCCTTGTCGCGAACCAGGGCGAACACGTCGGTAAGAGGGCGCAGGGTGCAGACGCTATATGTTTGAGGATCCCGCTCCAGCAGCGTCACTTCCGTAAGGCAAAGGATGCGTTTCACCGGATCCGGATGGCGGGGCGTTATCTTATGCACTGAGAACTCGGTTGACGAGGTTTGAAACTGGTCGCCGCTGAAAATTGAAAACTTGTTAGCCAACTGTTTTCTTACATAAGTTGCTCCTGAGACCTCACCTGAACTTCCCAAAACGCTGCCTCTCGAACTGCTCCAGCGTGATCTGACTCTTGAGTATTTTGGTTTCGATGCCCAGAAACTGGGCCGATCTCTGTGCTATATTCTGCACGATCTCGTGGTGATTCAGCGCCTTGAATAGATGCAGGCGACTAAAGCCACCATAGGCCATCACAATTCCTCCCTCATAGTCCGAGATGCCTGCTTAAAACGTGCGCAAACGTAAACAAATACCAAAAGATGAGTGCAGCAAGCAACAAAAAAGAACAAAGCGTACACAGTGAATTAAAATTGAGGCACATGAAGACGAAACAAGACACATTAATTGATGCAAGCGAGTCGAGTGTGCATAGCTACCTATTATTCCCTCGATGTCCTTGTACATATAGCTGGCCAGGACGTCGTTGGTCGTTGGATCAAGCTGATCCAGAGAGCAGGGCGTGACCTCCAGCACAGTGGGCAGGCTGATGCCCGACCAGTGGTACTTGTAGGCACTGAAGCGCTGTGGGCGTACATATTGATTAGTTTAGATTTATGCTGCGTGCATTTTATATAAAGATTTCAAGATTGGATCGAAAGAAATTATTGTAATGTTATCGGTTGCAGAGTAAAGAAAGTCTAACACCGTAGTTTTTCAAGCTACAAAAGTGGATCCAACGCCAAATCTGTCGTATCCACTGAAATTAAAAAACCAATAATTGTTAGATAAGCAAACCTGAGCATTTTTCGGCTTGTCAGCAAACTCCTTGTAGTATTTTAATATTGAGCTAAGTATATCATTGCGGTACTCCGACGACAACTTGATTGTATCCAGTTTCTTGTCCTTCTTGATGGTCAGCACAAACTCATTGGGAATCTGAAAAGGAAACAGGGTTACCTAAGATAACCAGGAAATAAATTAAACTCACATTTGAGGTCTTGGAGGGAGCTGCTGCCACGACGTCCGAGTAGGACCATCGATTGGTCAGGTCGAGCCTGTCCGGATTGTAGGTGGATATGCCGGCCGTGCCGATGGAGAGGATGCGCTTGTACTTGCCCTTCCAGGAGTGCTTGGTCACCAGGAAGCACTCCAGATCGACGTTTTCCCTCGGCGGCTGCATCGTGTCTTGCGGCGATTCCAACTGATTACCTTCCACCCAGTATTAGTCAGCAACTGAGGGCGAAAGAAAGATATGTAGAGTGTGGGAACGGGAGTTCAATCAGAGCAAAAGCTTCTCCTCCAACTGGCGTTTCGGGCTCGCTGCGCGTTTCCCAAATATCCAATTGACTTGCCCCCGACTCCGGGGCACTGATTAATTAAGTCGACTGGGGCACTTATCAGCAGAAGTGCCAGCGGAGCCCCAACAAAGGCCAGAAAAGGGGAGTAAACGCGAACGTGACGAGTGCGGAATGCTGCGGCCCCAAAAGCGCAGTCCATCGGACATGGCCATTGCGCACACAATCCCTCTATCGCGGCGGCTTACCTTAAACATCTAACACATTTCGCCGACTTGTACTATCCTCTATTTAGCCTACTATCCTCCGTTTGCAGATTTTTGCAATAAACAATTTAGCAGTAACACAGCTACACAACACTAATATCGGTGGCACTTGTCTGCTGTATATCGATGGTTACTGCACTTCTATCGATAATGTGCTTGTTTTGCAACACTTTTATTAAGGGAATTCATGAAACGTATTAGATTGGTTTGATTTTTTGTCAATTGGTATAAACAATATGTTTATATTTTGAAACTCTTTTATAAAAAATGGACGAAGCAATTTAAAGAACATTTTTTTTGAAATCGTATTTTTAGATTTAACTCTTAAAACCATTTACGATTTGTGTCCCACCTATTAAATCTGTTTTTTTTTCAAATATATGGAATAATATTTCAGCAATATTTTTGTAGTCACTCAACAACAAAACTTATTTGTAGTGAGAATTCAGTAAGCCACTTCTTTATGAACGTCTTCATATCAAAGAACCTATCGATACTATCGATGGTTAGACAAATTTCACATAAAAACATCGCCAGTCGGGGAAAAACCTGAACTTTTTTGGCGGGAAGAAAGAAAAACAAATAAAAATCAGAAACTTTGTATTTCAAACCATTTAACAGTAGCAAGGCCAATAAAATATTTATATTTTTATTTATATTCTCACAATAATTACATAATTAAGTAAACTCACAAATTTTTCGAAGACGATACAAATTTCAGTTTTTGGTTTATTTATTCCGACTAACAGTCTATACGACCAATAAAACGCTTCTTTATTACTTAACTACCATTAAAAACATTATTTCTCATTTCGTATTGCATAAATCGTACGTATTGTTATCTAAATGCAAATAAAGATGGCAGAGCGTGTTTGCATGTGAGAGTAATAATTCCAAGATAAAACAATCTCGCCAGCGAAGGCAAATAAAACAAACAAAAACAAGAACACGATCGTATTTTACACAAATGTAGAATGCTATGATACGGATGCTGCACTATCTTCGGCTAATCCTCCCGGCTACGGGCGATAATAATGATAATAATAATGGGGCGTATGCGTAGGTAAGCTATGTATGTGCCACGATATAAATTCCCGATGTTAGCATGTGGACCCAGACCCACAGACTCGTATTCTTATCGGGATCTACGACCTGGGGTGTTAAAGATAAAGTCGAACTGACGGCAACTGATGGATGGACGGGATGATGGCTGGGATGCGGATGAGACTAAGTCTTAGACAAATGTTACGTTGAAACCCTAAGCATAGTTATCGCTATCTTCTAACAACATGAACATGGAATGGACGTAGGCACATTGCGTTTCCGTCTTAGAAAACCGCTCTTGGACGCGCTCAGACTGGGAATGGTAATTGGAATGTATAGCAAATCGCCGGACCTCTGTCCCAGGTCAGCAGGAACACTTGTTCTTGGCATCCGAACCGGTTGCATCGCCAGAGCTCAGGTTGAACTTGTCGCCATCGGCCAGATCGGCAGATATCAGCTTATCGTTGATGAGTATCTGTCGGGTAAGCGGAGAAAGATTAGCTGGGCTTTGGCCAAGGATTAGCACGGATTATCACCTTGTTCACGAGGGCACGGGCTGCCTCGTCGATGTTGATATTCTCCTTGGCGGACGTCTCAAACCAGCCGGCGAATCCATTTTCCCTCACATACTCATCCATCTTCTCCGGCTGCGTTATAATGCCCTGCTTTTCCTGGTCGCACTGTAAGATTAACAAACATTTAAACCGTTATAAACTCTTCATCAGAAATACTATCCTTATAAAGTAATCTTTGACTTTCTTAACCAATTACTTGTCATAATCTGAAGTTCCGTAGGAAGTTTTGTTTATACCTCCTTTTAAACACTCACTTTATTGGCCAGCAGGATGCACGGAATGGGACTGCCATCCGGCAGTTGCACCTTGGAGTCCAGGTCCTCCTTCCACTTGCTCACGCAATCGAAGGTCCCGCTGCGCGTCACATCGAAAACGATGAACGCCCCAACCGCCTCCTTGTAGTACACTCGGGTCATGTTGCCGAACCTCTCCTGACCAGCGATATCCCACAGCTGGAGGCGCACTATCGTATTCGCGTCCCACTGGAGCACCTTCAGGGCGAAATCCACGCCGATGGTGGCCCTGTAGTTCTGGCTGAAGAACTGGTGCACATAGCGCTTGATGAAGGATGTCTTGCCGGTGCCCAGTTCGCCGATGACTAGAATCTTGTACAGATGCTCGCGTTTATCGCTAGTGGACGTCATGATGGCCTGGAAGAGAGGATTGAAAGGGGTTTAGATAGGATATATGTAGATTGTATATCGTTTAGTTTCAAGGAGGACATCTGATCTAAAGATAAAATCTTAAAAGTCCCTGTACTATCTTAAAAGCTTTTGATAGTAAATTAGTATAACATTACTACGATATAGGTATGGCACATTTGCGGATTTTATGTAGAAGAAATCTTTGAAAGATCACTGATACATTCTGCAAGTCCTAGTATTAAGTCACAAGGTATTCTATAGCGAATACGGGAAATACGAGTCGATTTGAATGAATTATAGATCTAATATAGATCTAGTTTAAACAGATATAAAGAACGACTTTTGGGCACAAAAGGTGAGAATCGAATTCTCCCAAGATTTAAAAAGCAGCACTTTAATAAATTCTAAGCCGGGTATTAGTTACACCTCCTCCAGCTTGTCAATCCGCACTGAGATTTGCTGGTTAGTTGACGAGAGACCCTTGGCAATTACCACCTTCCCCTCCGCCCGCACAGTTGAATGACACTCGGGCACACACACTATAAGGGGGCCAACACGGCACTTGTGGGGCTTCTTCGCTGGTAAACTGGCAAACTGACAATCCGACGACGATGGCTATGGCGACACCTTACCGGTTCCATTTCCTGATCCATGGTCAGGTCACCGAAGGCCGGCATGGGCTTGGCGCTCTCTGGCTCCCTGGCCTCCGCCTGCTCCTCGCTCTCGTCCTCCGACTCGGAGTCCTGGTTGGAGTATTCACTGGCCACCGACTGATAGTGCAGCGTTTCCCGCCTGCCCTCGATGCTGTCGTGGTCGCCGAGTATGAGCTGCTGCTGGGCGAAGCTGAGCCGCCGGAGACTGGAGTCACTCGAATTGGAATTGGGCTGTTGACTGGCGGCGGCGGCCAAAGCGGCTTCGTAGGCACTCAGAGGACTCCTTACGGCACTGCCCACGGCAAAGCGGACTACGGGCGGGGGATTGGCAATGGTCTGGGCACTCTCCGCCGAGGAGATGCCGTCGTCAGCGGCTGGAGGGGATGTGGATGGGTCCAGGGACTCTTGCCCGGATGGCTGGGGTTCCGTACTCGCTGGTTCAGCCAGTGGTCTGGCGTTGAGGCGGTGGCCGCGCTGCTGCTGCTGCTGCATCAATTCCAGCTTCTTGCTGGATCCGCTCGAGGATTGGGACTTGCGAACAGCTCCGGTGCCGCTGGCAGACTGAACGCGACTTGGTTTCGCTGGTGCCCGCTCTCTGGGCGGCGTATCTCGCGAGCTCTCGGTGGTGGTGATAAGGGGCGATGGCGATGGCGATGGCAATGTTGACTCTCCTCTCTCGGGGCTCTGGGGCTTCTTCTTGGCCACCAGCAGCTTGGTGGTGCGGGTGCTGCTGCTGGTATCTCTCGTGGTCACCGTGGTGGTAGTGGTTTTCTTTCTCGGCTTCCTCTCCTCGGCGGCGGGTGTCAGGTAATCCGTATCGCTCTTGGGCCTGCTCTTGCCGCTCTTCTTAGCGGGTGGCGCTGCCTCCACCTTCTTGCCGCTGATGGTGATCTGCAGGGTGCTGCTGGTGGCAGAGGTGGGTGAACCGGGTGGCGATGGCAGTGGTGGGGTCCCGCCCTCCAGGTGCTCCACGCTGATGTCGTCGCTGGTGGCCAGGCTGTGGGGTCGCGCCTTCGTCGAGGTTTTCCCGGTCTTCCTCAGGCCACCCAAGAGCAGGCGGCGCGTCAGGCTCTTCTTCTTGGTCTTCCCGAGGGCTCCGCTGTCCGTGGATATGGAGCTGGTCACGTCTTCCAGCTCGCCAGGGGTTTCCTGCGCCTCCTCCTCCGCGCTTCTCGTCTCCCTCTCGGCACTTTTGTCCAGCTCCCTTTCCCTTTTGGTTTTCGACTTGGAGAGGCTTCGCAAAGCCGCAGAGAATCTGGAACGGCCCTTGATCTTGCCGCTGGCCTCCTCAGACTCCTCCTTGGGATCTCCCTCACCCTCGCCCTGGTGGTCACCCTTCTCCTCTGCTAAATCCGATTCCGCTCGCTTTATGGCTTTTACCCGCTGCTCGTCCACGTTGGGCATATTTTCAACTGGCGCTGATGATCTCTAGCGATTCTTCAAGGGTTTCCATCTGCTCTAGATTGTATTCCAACACCGATTTAGATCCTTTTCCTGATCCTGAACTCCTGGAAATTTTAGCAACCGCAGCGCTGACAAAACAAACGCGCACTGAAATCCCCAATGACGACGCCTAGGCTTTTATAAATTTTAGTTCGCCCCGTTGAAAACGCCCCTGCCCCGCCTCTGCCCCGCCCCCTGGGTTGTGGTGAGAGGTTTAGCATTACAGTTACGAAAAAAGCTAAGGCCAGGTGCGCTTACCAACACTGGCTGTCGCCTCGAAACCGAAATCGCTTGCGAAATGAGCGTGAGAAGAGCCGGTGGGCCTTTGAATGGAGCGATTGAACGGCGGACAGCCGCTTATCAAGCAATCTCCGGACAAAGACTGACCAGTGTCCGGTAGCCAGCAATAGTGGACACTTGTTGTGCGTCCAGTTAGCCCTGCTCCCGAATCACTGGGCTCTGTCATTGGGATCAAGGCGAGCCATGAGGTATACATCATACAGTATATGATATGATGGCAAGAAGGGTAGCCAATCATCCGGCACAGCCAGTGGAGCAGGGCGTGCTCAGTGTCCATTTCTGGACCTGACCTCTCCAAACACCACCCCAGAACCCACGCTCCATCGCACTTGGCGGGCTTCCTTTAAGCTGAGGATTTGACGCATCAACTTGTCCCAAAAGAGTCGCTCGGCATTAAGTGGGCGACACATCAACATCAATCTGGCCCGTTGGGCGCTGTCTTTGTCTTGGCTGA